CTGATTGATTGATATGTGGGGTTTAACGTCCCAAAACCACTATATGATTATGAGAGACGCGAGCACCCTCTGCTGTGTTGCAGATTTGACCGCCGCTGGGGACTGAGGGCCGTGAGTATGCATGTGGGTGGTAGTGGCCAGATACTGCACCAGGGTGGCCAATCCTTCTCTGGTGAGGGAGTGCATTACCGGCGATGGTTTCGGTGAGGCCGCACCTTAGGCCTCCTAATGCAGTTCCATCGCCGCGCGTATTTTTTTTTTCAATCCGGTTGGGAACTGCGCGGCACCGGGATTCGAACCACAGACCTCTTACATGCGAGGCTGACGCTCTAACCGCTACGTCATTGCTGCTTTTTTTTTTTTTTAATAAACGCTGTTCAACGCTTTATGAGAAACTGCTCTTGAGCAGACAAATAGCAATAATTGCGCACTTTGTCTCGTCTACGGACAAGAGAGGACGCGATGGCGTTGGGAAACAAATATACACAGCATACCTTGATTTGCGGTTTCGCTAAGCACAACAGTTTGGGGCTGGCAGCGCCTATAGCGATGCTCGCAGGTATAATTTTAACAATTAAACGTGTACGGAAATATATGCAGACGAAGGTACAGGCTATTCGTCTGCATATAATGAGAAACGTCGGGTGCTGTCGTAATTATCGCATACATGTAAAGGCAGAAGACATTACATTTACGAAAGGCCACCGTGATAGAACCCCTATATCGAAATTTACGAAGCAATAACTGACTATATAGTTACGTTAGTTAAACAATGGTGGTTTCAAAGCCTTTTTTAAAGGGCAATAAAGAAATACAATGATTTGATTTAGATACAAACTGCACTCGGAAAAATTCAATGCCATATGCCTCACTCTCATAAGTTTATTATTAGAGGAGAAAATCAAGGTGGAAGTTGCTTTTTTTAAATTTCGCGCATGACGTCAAAAGTTTCCAAGATGCGTTTTCCGTATTTCCGCGACACTGGCTCGATGAAACTTTCTTAAAATTAGCATGCTAGGCATATGGCACCAACAGATGACAATGTACTTCATTTTCATCCATTAAAAGCTACGTAGGAGCGAGCAGACGCCTTCAGAATCTGTGACGTCACGACTTTGGGTTCGGGAATCTCCAAGGTAGAGAGAGAGAGAGAGAGAGATTAATGAAAGAGGAAGAGATAAAAAGGACGCTATTTTCTGCCTCCCGTCGCGGGGGCACGGCTCAGCGCCTTTAGGGATCGGGGAAGGGGAAGTAAAGATGATAGGAAGAAGAGAGGAGGGAAAGAAAAAGTGAATGGCATGGCAAGAGAACGTCTTGTCAGTACAGTCAGTAGTGCGAATGAAAAGAGTTCGTCTATAAGGCGGCGAGGTCCGCGCAAGCACAGAACTCGAGGAAGGCTCGAAGGGCTTTCGTCTTCGAGCGCGCGGGAAAAAGTATGTCTTCCATTGTTTCGGCAGGTAGTCCAAGCAGACGATAGCGGCTTACCAGTGCGCAACGCTCAGTGGCCAGGTCAGGGCAGGAGCAAACAATATGCTGCAGCGTTTCGTCATCACCGCACCTTCGGCACGCTGGCGATGAAGAGCGACCCGCGGAATACATGCGTGCCGCAGGCCAGACGCTGCCGGTACGCAGGCGAAGCAACAACCGCCGCTCGCATCTGTCCAGGCCAGTCTCCGGCAGGGATGGTGGAGGTTTGCCGCTTGCCACCCGTGTGTCAGGGTGGGCCGTTGGTAAGAGCTTCCGCAGTCGCTGCCGTGAGTAATCCGACTGGGTTACCGCCTTAGTGACTGGCGTGTCGCAGTGGTGTGCTGCCTTAGCGGCGGCGTCAGCCTCCTCGTTGCCAGCTATTCCAACGTGCGAGGGGAGCCAGTGGAGGGACAGGCGCACACCACTCTCTTTGATGGCGGTCAGTTTTGCGTGCAGCAACGCCACAGTTATGCCTGCTTGGTCTGGTTGGAGCAGCGCTTGTAGGGCTGGTCGGGAGTCGCACAGAATCGCCACAGGCAACTGGGGTAACGTGGCAGCAAGGTGGTCGGCTGCCAAGTGAAGGCCGGCCAATTCAGCTGCAGTGGAGCTGGCGTGAAAGGGAAGTCGGCAGCGGATGGTTGTCCCAGTCGATGGTATGACGCAGGCAGCCGCGGCCGAATGGGGGCTGTCCCGAACGGACCCGTCCGTGAATACCAGGAGCTGCCCCTTAAGTCTTTCATGAAGTTTCGCCACGGCTGCCTGATGGAGCTCGCATGCCGGTGTGCGCCTTTTTCTGAGGTTGTCCAGAGTTAATTGTACGTCCAGAGGCTGCTGATGTGGTGGAGGGGGTAGGATTGGACTGGGAGGATCGGGGACCAGCTCTTCATAGAGAGCGCAGATCTGTGCCATCCGTGACGCTGGTCGGCTCCGCAGTCTCCGAAGGAGGGCAGCGCCCCCGAGGGCCCTGTGAAGGCGATCCACGTGATGCAGCGCCTGTCGTAGCATCAAGAGTGACAGAGGCCAGGTCTGGGCCTCCGCCAGGGTTGCAGCTATGGGTGACTGACGGGAAAGTCCCATGAAGCGCCGAATTGCCATGCGATGTTGCCGCTCCAGTTGCTCCTTGCGGTGTGGCGCCAGCTGCACCAAGGGCAGTGCATAAGTTTGCGCTGTCGTTGCAGCCCCTTCGTAGAGTCTTAGAGCCAGCCGTGAGGTGCACCCTTGGCCCCTGCTGAGCAGTTTGCTTACGGCAGTCTCGACCCTGGTGGCCTTGAGGACGGCGAGCTTAACGGCTGGTATCCAGGTAAGGCGGTGGTCGATCCTTAGCCCCAGGTACGTCACTGCATCGCTCCACGGGATAGGTCGGTCACCTAGCACAAGCCTTCGGACGGCCCTCCGCGCAGTGGCTCTGGGGTGAACCAGCAGTGCCTCCGTCTTCGTGGGCGAAACGTTCAGTCCGATTGCCTTGAAGAAAGAGACGACGGCATCCAAGGAGCGCTGCAGGGAACGCCTTATGGCCGTGAAGTTTTGCCTAGGCCCCTTAACCCACAGTGCCACATCGTCTGCGTACAAGGAGCACTGCGTGGGGTAACGCTTGTCTGCGGGCATCGCGGTCGGCAGCCCCGCTAGCACCAGGTTGAACAGAAAGGGGCTCAGGACGGAACCTTGTGGAACGCCTGCTGTCACTGGCCGTGGATCGCTGAGCGCGCGTCGTACTCTAACCCGGAGGGTGCGTTTTGCCAGAAAGGCACTGATAAAGGTACGTAGGCAGCTCACGATGCCGAGTGTGTCCAAAGCACTCTCTATCGCTATGTGAGGCAAGCTGTCAAAAGCGCTCTGTACATCCAGCAGGACGAGGAGGGCCACTTCGCCGTTGCGCTTGGCCTCCTCCAAGGTAGAGACGACGTCCGCGATCGAGTCTGCTGTGCATCGGTGGCGTCGGAAGCCCGTCTGCTGTTCTGGTAGGAAATCCTTTGCCCCCGCAATCCAATTTAGGCGTGCCAGTGCTATGGCTTCCATGAGCTTGCAGGTAGCAGAGGTGAGAGAAACGGGTCTGTAGGACGTAATGGCGGCACAAGGGCGGCGAGGTTTCCGGATCGGCACCACAACAGCGGTCAGCCAGGCTTCAGGTAGGTTGCCGCTCTGCCATATTTCATTAAAAGTCCTCAACAGGTGTCGTCGTGAGGCCATATCCAGGTTGCGCAGCATCTGGTATGTGATGCCGTCGGCACCAGGGGAACTGCGGCGCTTGGTTCTGGCTAGAGCAACGTTCAGTTCGTGTTCGAAAATAGGATCCTGACACAGAGATGCGATCTGGCTGGCCGTCCAGGCAGGGTGATGACCTTGCGGTGGCTTGAGGGCAGGCGTGGCGATGAGGGCTGAAGGATTGGCTGGTGGGAGTTCTGTGAAGCGATCGGCCAGTCGCTCTGCCAGTTCTTTTTCACTAATGCCCAAGTAGATGGCCACCGCAATGACGGGTTGCCGCACCATTGGTCCAGTGACGAGGGATCGTAGAAGTCGCCATGCTTTTTGCGCCACCTCTTGCCTGACTCAGGGAGAGGCAGATGCCTTGCCAGCTTTGCCGCCTGCGACGGTTGGCATGTCGCCGACATACCGCATCACACGATTGAAGAGTGTACGTTGAGCTGGGTCATGGGATTTTAGGTACCTTCTCTCAGCCCTACGCCTCGCAGCCCGTAAGTTCAAGTGATGGAGGTCTGGCACAGGATGGTGCTCTGGCACCCTGGTCTGGATAGTTGCCGCCTGCGCTGCCATTGCTACCAGATTCAGGAAATCCTGATCCTCTGGGACGTCTCGAAGCTGCCTTCGAAAAGCCCGCCAATCGATCGTACTACACAGCCTCCTCCTTGGGATCTTTCCGCCCACAGGTGAGATGACGATCGGCAGGTGGTCTGAACCCCAGGAGTCAGGCTCCACTGCCCAATCGTACCGGTCCCCTTCACTGGCCAAGGTGACGTCAATGGCGGAGCATGACGGTCGTGCTGTTCTGCGGACGAAAGTGAAGGATCCGGTGTTCAAAACTTGTAGACCCAGTTGATGGATAACGTCCACCAGATCCCTTCCTCGAGAGGAGCAGGTGCTACTCCCCCACATGGTGTGATGAGCATTTCATGTCCCCACATATGAGGTAGTCTCTTCCGAATTTAGCCGTGAGCTGTAACAGCAGTGGAGGCGTCCCCACCGCTGTCCAGGTCGCACATACACAGAGGCCACTGTCGTGTCCACACCGCGAAGCCGCACCGTCACGGCACAACACTCAAGAGCCCCTCCAGTGACATCAGCCACGTTTATGTGCACATGTGGTAGTTCTCGTCGCACGTACACTGCACAACGTGGTCGACCCTGGGATGTGCACTCGCTATGCACGGCGCGTCCTGGCACGTGTCTAGAGTACACGACGTGATACTTTGGTAACCGATGTATCCGGGAAGTCGCAAGTCGGATCGCTGCTACGTACACTTCCTGCAAAGCAAGCACATCATACTCGCTCTGCAGGAGATGTGAGGAGAGGTCTGCATGCCGCCGCCGCAACGAGTGAGCGTTCCATTGAAGCACACACGGGCGGCGGCGGCGGTGGTTCTCTGCAGCATGCGGATGAGTGTCAGCCATGGTGGCTGCTATGAGGGTGCGCGCCACCTGCCTGAAGGCAGATGGAGCGCAGCTGGTTTTCAGGAGGCAGCAGGTCCGCAACTGCTCTTAACAGGAGCCTCAGGTTTGCATTTTCCTGGTCCACACGGGGCTGGGAAGGTACCTTCGCGGGTGGACGAGTCGTGGTAGAGTCTGGGTGCTTGAGACCAGCCGAAGGGCCCCGTTGTTGTACGCCTGTCTGGCCTGGATGGGTCGAGCTGACCGTCATCTTGGATGGTGATCCCACTGCGGCAGCATAGCTCTTGCCCGTGGTCTGCTTCAGCTGAGGACTATCAGTTACACTAGGGCTTGCCCGCAAGACTGCTTGAGCCTCGCGGTGAGGCAGGTAGGTGGGAGCTGATGCCTTGATGGTGGCCAGGCGCCGCTCTCTTTGCCAGAGCTGACAGTCTGCGGAATCAGCTGAATGTGGCCTGCCGCAGTGCAGGCATCTTAATTTGTTGGTGCAGTTGGCGTCTTTCCCATGGTGGCCACCACATCGCAGGCACCGCTCTGGTCCTCGGCAAGTGACGGCGATATGCCCATAGCGTCCGCACCGCCGGCACTGAAGCGGGCGAGGTCGGGATGGCCTCACTTCGATTGATTGATTTGTGGGGTTTAACGTCCCAAAACCACCATATGATTATGAGAGACGCCGTAGTGGAGGGCTCCGGAAATTTTGACCACCTGGGGTTCTTTAACGTGCACCCAAATCTGAGCACACGGGCCTCGACATTTCCGCCTCCATCGGAAATGCAGCCGCCGCAGCCGGGATTCGAACCCGCGACCTGCGGGTCAGCAGCCGAGTACCTTAGCCACTAGACCACCGCGGCGGGGCGGGATGGCCTCACTTCGAACACCATGCGAAAAAGGCGGACCCGGGTGGGAGGCACGGGAGAGGCGAACCGCAAGACTAGTGATGTCCCTTGTCGCCTGGCTGCAATCACCGGCACATCGGACGACACGGCGGCCAGGAGGGCTTCGTCGGTATAGTCGCCATCGACGCCTTGCACCACGCCACTGCTTTGTGAACGGTCAGCAGGGAGGCGGGCAGTCACGGGTATTCCTGCGAGCTCCGATGTTGCTAGTAGGCGATTCATCCATTCTGGTGTAGATGCGTCTGCTGCCACGATGTTCTTTTTCGTGTTTACTCGCACCTCCTTGACTCCGGGCAGCGCAGAGAGAGCTTGCGCAATGGCAAGACGAGAGGTGCGGTGAAAGGAAGCGCTGGCGTTTGCTGGTCGAAAAAGAATAGTGCCCGAGTCTAGCGACGATGAAGCAGAAGCCGGCATGGTGTGTTCAGTGGCGCGTACCCCTGCAGGAGCGGTCTGAGTCGCAGTGGGCGCATTAGAAGTCCCTGGAGCGACGTGGGCAAGCATAGCCGTCGATTCAGTGGCGGGACGAGGACCAGTGTGGGCAGCGGGTCCTTGAGATGTCGAGGCTCGCTGTCGGCGCTTCTTAGACTTGGAGAGGACGGTCTGAAACTCAGACTGACTGATTTCGTCAGTTGCGTGTGTGACGGCGTCTTCGTGGGCAACCGCATCATTTGACGTTGGGGTAAGACACGCAACTGTGGCACGTTCAGGCGCTACTGCGTGCATCTTCCGCGAGCCACCCTCATCGTCGCTGCCCGACTCGCTAGGACGCGAGCGCTTACGCGTTGACGTAGTATCCATGTCTGCAATATCAGGTTCCTCGTCTAACGGCAGTGGTACGTTCTGCGGGACGGTGACGTTCACGCACAGAATTGACCCGGCATCTTCGAGTTGGGCTGTATGATGCGCCGCTACAGCGGTCGAAGATGCTGTGGTGCTAGTGGTAGGGCTGGAGGCCGCCGAGGACGTCAGGCCCCTTGCAGTTGTCTCGACGTCGGCAGCAAGCACCGGTAGGCGAAGTGATGTCGGTTTCTCGCTGACGACTCTGCACAGTTTCTGTGCCTGTTCATGATGCAACCGCACCGCTTTGGCACTGGAGATGAGGTTCCACAGCACGCGGGTGCACGCGACGCTCGCTGAGCGTCTGTGTGACGATGTGGGAACCAGGGAACGCGACGGGCGTTCCAATGGCGTAGCCGAGAATGGAGGAGACTGCTCTGCCATGGTAGTCGGGATGACAGCTGCCCCAGCGACGCGCAGGAGCAGAGGACGCTGTCACAGGGCTCAGGTCACCGAAAGCGGTGGCAGGGATCCAAGGGCATAATCTGTAAAGATTACTCTCCTTGACAAGACTCGAACGGGTATGAAAGTCCAGGAACGCGAGGAGCACTGCGCGGAACGCGGTCGCGTCTCTCGCGGGCTGACGCGGTAGCGTCTCTCGCAGAATCGGGAGCACCGGGCAACACGTCTGCTCTCTGTGAACGCTCGAGAGAGAGTCCAATCGCAGCTGTCAATCTCCAAGGTAGCGTCTCCAACTGCATTTGTTTTTCGCGCGTTTTTTTTTTTTTCGTTTACTTAAGCCGCATCGCGGTAAGAGCGGCGTTTTCGGGATCGTGAAATCGTACTTCATTAATGTGCGAAAAATTGTTTTGCTCTTTAATGTCCCTTTTATGAAAAAAAAGGGGGGGGGGACAAAACGAACAGATACAAGCCCACACTCCACCTGCGCGTCGCATCGAGGTCACTAATTACCAAGTTGCGCAATCGTCCACTCTGATTACTTCCTCAAGAATGGGTAAAAAGCGAGCGCTATCGTGTGTGCGACACGTGCGCCCAACAGCGAATGTTTACGGGACGTTGGCTACACAACAAACGCCAATTTATTCACCCTCAGCACGTCACGCTTTCGATATTGACGCTGGTGGCTGAGTAGGCCGCAATACCAACCAACTACAAGCTGGATCATTTGTTTGGGGGTTGTGTTCGCCCGACAAAACGAGAATATCGCTCGAACATTTCGTTTTCCGCAAGACTGTGTACCAAAGAAACTGTAGACAGCCGCACTCGTAACATAAACAGGTGCTCCAAGAAAAAAAAATTTGACCAGCGACGCGCCTGGGAGGCCAAGGCTTTTGAGAACGGATTCTTGCGGACTTTTAAAAAACTTTGGCGCGATCCGCAAAAAAAAAAAAAAAAAAAACACCCGACAGTCGCCGCGCTCAAACGTTTGTGCAGCGATCACATCGCAGCTGCTGCCGATACGACGTGATCAGAGCAACCTTCGTGATCAGAGCGACGTGTTCATGAAGTGTGTGTGCGTGAGAGAGAGAGAGATAAAACGTCTCTACATCGCATATCCATCAAATAGCAACAAGCGGTAAGCGCGTCATCGCTAGTTTCCCTTTAATGGCGCAATAAACGACGGAAGGGCGTTGATGTTCGCCGTACGTGGGAGGTCTCCGGCCGCTGACGCTGCGGAACGTCGGCGGTAACCTTTGTTCGACAGCTTACGACATCACGAACACTTTGTAGAAACAAAACCTTCCGCCCTTCGATTCGGGCGTTGAAACGTAGTTAGCAGGCAATCGGAACACGGCTACAACCGTTCTTGAAACCGTCGCCGGACGACAGAGCCCCGGAACGCAAGAGTCCACCGGGTGTATCGGTTGGTGGGGAATACTTGTTCAGATCGAACCATCGCTGCAAATCGTGACGCGATCGCCTACGAAATACGGGCGGCGCGAGGAAACGGGTTCGTAAACAAGCTTCTCCGACCCTTCAGGGTCGCGACAGGTAACATCGGCGTCGAAAAAGAGGAACGAAACACGCTGTTAGAGGTCGCGTATCCGCGACCCCGGGTGCTATCACTACGAAGCGGCATCGCTTCGGAGCTTGCCGACACTCCCAGCTTACTTAGACGTCAGATTGAAACAAGAAGACGTAGCTTACCCGATCCGCTGCTCGCGCAAAGGCGTGTCAAATCCGCCGCACTTTCCGCAGAAATATTCCAACGGCTTCGGGATGGTGCGACCGCGCGCTCGAATCAGTTGCGTAAGCACACCACCGACGATCGGCGGCAACGTTTACGAGGTCTCACTCCGAAAGCCGCACTGCGCGCTTCTCCTCGACGGGCCGAATTCCGGGTCATACACAACGAGCAGCGCTCGTGACCACTGGCGTCATTGAAAACGCACTGAAGTCGCCCGAGTCCCGCGTCGTCGCGTAAATTTCAATGGACCGGTCGCAGCTTTTCCAAGAGAGGGAGAGAGATATTAAAAAAATGGCGGCAAAGAAAAAGAGAGGAAACAACAGGACCGCAGCAACTAAATTGTGCTGCAAACAGAAGAAACTCAAATAACAAATAAGTGTAATAAAACACATTAATTTTTCGTACAAGTTTTTTTTTAAATGCGTAAAGTATAACAATTTGTTGTTTAGTTTTTTTGTAACATTTTGTTTGGCTGCTTCGGTTTGTGCACAATTTACGTAAAAACTTCTACGCCAATTTGTAAAAACATGACGTCACAACTAAACCGCACCCAAACTGCGTGTAATTTAACATATAAAACAAATATATTCTTTTGAGACAAGTAAATTTGTTGATTTTTTGTTTGACAGTTGAAGTTGAATAGCAGTATAGTAATCTTTATGTTTTACACGTCACTAGAGTAGTGCAAGTGCTCGTTGCTGGAGCCACTTAACTTCACTTACTCATAGAGTTTTATCTTTGTATAAAATTCTGTGCAATTACTAGTGCATGCCTTCTAGATGAAGTTAACGTTTACTGCTGTTTTGAAGACAGTATTGCTTACACGGTCAAGTGAGAAAATACCCGACCAAGTAGTAGTATGTATTTTTTTTTTGTCACTGCGTGTAAAAATTGTAACGAATAAAAGCAGAGTAATTTTTCTTTAGTTTTAGGCAAAGGAGTACTGCTTGCGAGCGTCACGCTGCAGAGACTACACCAAACTGAAACCTTGTTGTCCTAATAAAAAACAAAACAAACAATGCATGTGACGTCACTAATAGAGCAGTGTCAACGATACATGACAACGAGAACGCAGCATTCGCTGCGGAGCGCGTGTCCGCCGTAAACATGGCGGCAGCCAGAGAAAGTGATTTCGACTTCGGACCCAAAAGCACGGAAGACTCGACGCTGCTGGCGGCGCGGCCGTGCGTGGGCGCCATGGAAAACGAACCAACGACCAGCCAGGTCGTTCACGTCAAGGTTCCCGCTCGCATCGACGACAGCGAGGAAGACAGCGACGCGTCGAGTCCGCGCGACCTGTGGGACGCCGTGAAGATCGACCTCGCTCAGGCGGCCTCCGACTCGGACAACGTCGTGAAGGACTCTAGAATCAGCCGGGCCCCATCGGTGGATAGAGATAATGTGCCCGTTGAAAGGACTTTGCCGCAGGTTAACTGCCCGGAGAGAATTGTAAGGATCGGTTACCAGCTGATTGTGTTTTTGTCTAGTGTAGCGTAGACCCGCCCACCGCTGTTTTACTCGTCTCCGTTTGTTGGGATTTCCGAACACCGTTCTCAGCGGTGATTCGGTACCGTGAAACGCTAGAGCGAAATTTCGCAACAAGTTTCAGAGTGTGCGAGACGAGGGTAGCGAAGACTTCGACGGCATCTTGCGACACTTCGAAACCGAAAAAAATGTAATTCCTCGCGTACGTATGTGTGCTACGTGTCGCCAGCGAAGAACGCGATATATACAGGTTCAAAGCGGTATCGTACCTTACGGCGTGTGCCTGTGGCATTAATCAGATGTTCTTGCTCAAACTTTCAATTGAGCCCTTTCAATGATGACACAGTTCTGCCGAGCTCTCAACATATCATTCAAGATGAGTTGCAAACGACATCATGGAATGGCACTTCGGCTATGCAATCTGTTACTCTCGGACCACAAACGTTGTACGAGATGGAGAAGGCTGAAAGTGAGAAAAGTACGCCACAACACCTGTACGGCTCTCGCCTTTTCCGCATTCGCCGGTGTTTGTCGAGGTGGACGTACCAGCTGCGCTCTAAAGCGTTGTATAACGATTCCAGAGCACGCTGACCCTCTGCAACAGTTTGTCCAGTGTCACTGAAGTGCTTGTGTGTTCCCACTGTAAACGATTCAGTTTGAGTGTTGTTTATACAGTTCACCCTTTCGATTTCCGCTTTGAGGGAGTGTGATGCCCGAAAAAACGGCAGTTGAAGTGCCCGTTACATATCTCAAACTTGTTACAACTGTTTGTGAAACTTGTGACCCACTATGGGACACTTTAAATGCCATCATTTGTCTCATTTTAATTTATCGATCTCAAGGCCGATCTGTTGTTATCGAGGGGGCAGCTTCGTGAATTTGCACGAGCAGAACATAAACTCTTCAAAATGATCAGCAATGCTTGGACAAGGGTATTTATGTTTGAACAATAAGCAGCATTTACAAGTTGCGTTTGTGAGCTACCATGTTTGGTTTCAGTGCCCAACTTCAGCCCAGTTTTCACTGCACATTCTATGTCCTTTCAGTTTTGATTTGCCACAAAGTGAAATTCTATTGTAGTCTACATGCACAACAATACGTCAAGAAGCTGTCCTTTCAATATGAGAGGTGAAGTGCTGTCAAGACAGCAAGTGAAAAAGGCCATTATCTCTAAGAGTAATGTTTCTTTGTATGCCCGACTGTCTACAGTATGTTCGTCGTCAAAGAGGCCGCGTGAGCGCTAACACCCAAACGCTGCTTCAATTACTGCGGCATGTACAACAATGTCTACGTCTGTCGGCGCCACCGTGGCATCTTGTGGAATCTCGAACCGCAAGTGCTATATTACACCTCGCATAGAAAACCACTGTATGCCATGTATGTGCCTTCGTCTCCTCTCATGCATTATCTGTATTTAACGCACTGTGTTTGGTACAATACGTACATCCTTCTCACACTTTTTTTACTTGCAGGTTATCTGTGTCGACCTTTGTTCGGAGATGGAGGACATGCCGTTCATATTCTCAGACGGGTAAATAACAGCTGTCATTGTTTGTCGGTACACTTTCTCCTCATATACTTGTTCATGCAGAAACAGGCACATTTGCTGAATCTTGCAGCTAACGCATTGTAGACGACTGATACATACTGTTTGTATTGCTTTATCAAGCTCTACACTGTGTCAAGCTTCAGCTTACAATAAGAACGACGTTGTGAGAGCACAAAACAGGCACTCAGTTGATAGTGTCCTATGCATAGCAGAGCACACATATCAACCACCCAAAGTAGATTGCTTAAGACCTGCAACTTCTTTATTACAGCACTTATTCACAAAATTCTTGCAGCAGCGTGTTCACATTGCCCAAGTGCTCAGTTATATTCCATTAAAAAATTTGGACCACGCGGTTGTTTACTGGCTCTTCGTATAATGCTCCGTCGACTTCTGTGGAACAGTTGTTAGGTAGTTAGGCTGCTGGTTCAAAGGTCCCGATTTCAAATCTGGCTGCAGCGGTCGCGTTCCGGTGGTTGTTGATTGGTAGAGGTTCATGTCAGTGCACTTTAAAGAACACCACGTGGTCTAAATTTCAGGAACCCTCCACTAGAACGTCCCTCATAATATATCCTAGTTTCTGGATGTAAAACCCCTCTACCAGTGTAGACAAGGAGTCTATACGTCAGGACACATCATGACCTTTAGCTCTTTCTTGTTTTTACAGCAAAAGCTGTTACGAGATGATAACATAGGTCGCGTGCACCCTAGTTGTCCGCCTCTGCCACCGCTGTCCGTAACTACCGTCGCACACACACACACAAAAAAAAAAAACAAATAGAAAACGCCAAGGACACAATGGGATTCGAACCCGGATCCCCTTAGCGCCAACCAAGTATTCTACCACTGAGCCATGCCGGTGCTTGGAACTCCTTTGCAAACTGGCCCTACGCAGTCTTGATGGCGGGAAAGAGCTTGCGTTAATATGAGTAATAAAGCGTTTTAGGACAGCAAAGAAACGACCAGGGGTCACACAATGCAAATGCGCAACGAGTGAGTCATCGAATGCTCCAACCCTTCACAAAAGCTTGATCTTCACCTATTGACTGTGGCGCATACCCGCTGTGGGGGTATTGTGTGGATTATAAAACCTTCTGGCATAATTCTTGATCATTGTCAGCCACCGCACGCACACAAAAAAAAAAGTTCACAAAGTTCCTTGCAAGTGTGCAGTGAGTACCAGGCTTCTCCCAAAAATGGCATAGTGAATGCCTGCCTACCACACAATGATTTGTAACGTAGTGAGTACCCATCAAGTGTTCTTGCAGCAGCTACCCAAATAGTCTTCAAAAAAGGCTCTGAAAGGCTGCTCTTCCAGCTTTTGCTGTGACAGTGTTGTGCATTCTGCGCAGGCCTGGCGGTCTTTTTTTCTTCTTTGAAAGCACGAATGCACAATCTTCTAACAGCACTGCTCGACGGCCACGGTATGCATGCAGCTCGTGATGTTCAAATCGGCCAAAGGTGGTTGAAAAATTGAATTGCTGCACAAACTTGAAGGAAAACAAGGAAGACAGGAAAGAGCGCAGACTACCTACTGTTTATTGCCGTTTCTTGAAGCCAATACATACGCATGCTACGCTGCGCTTCCACGATGCGCACAAAACCAAAGATGCCGCAAACAAAGCCGACCCAAAACAAATCAAATCAAAATTGACTGCCACGACAATGACAAAATTGAAAAATGGCAAAATACAAAAGTGATACCCACCACAATCTAAACTGCGTATTCCCAAGGTGTGCGCTCATCTTTTTTAAATTTTATCTTCTATTATTTATTGCACCAAGCATCAACAAAGGCGTGAAAAAATGAAAACGTACTCTAGAGACTTTTGTTTAAAAAACACAAAAAATAGTGCTTAACACCAAATAAAACACTAAATTAACAATTTTATATTCACTCCAAGCAGCCCCAATTGAGCAACCCGAAGAAGCAGTACGCCGAGAGAGTCAAAAACTATAATAACATAAAACTTTACGAAACATGACGTAGCGTCACTATGCTACGGTGTACTGCTTCTTCGGGTTGCTGAATTGGGGCTGTTTGGAGTGAATATAAAATTGTTATTTTAGTGTTTCATTTGGTGCTAAGCGCTATTTTTGTGTTCTTTAAACAAAAGTTTCTAGAGTATGTTTTCATTTTTTCACGCCTTTGTTGATGCTTGGTGCAATAAATAATAAAAGATAAATTTTAAAAAAGATAAGTGCACACCTTGGGAATACGCAGTTTAGATTGTGGTGGGTATCACTTTTGTATTTTGCCATTTTTCACTTTTGTCATTGTCGTGGCAGTCAATTTTGATTTGATTTGTTTCGGGTCGGCTTTGTTTGCAGCATCTTTGGTTTTGTGCGCATCGTGGAAGTGCAGCGTAGCATGCGTATATATTGGCTTCAAGAAACGACAATAAACAGTAGGTAGTCTGTGCTCTTTCCTGTCTCCCTTGTTTTCCTTCAAGTTTGTGCAGCAATTAATTTTTCAAGTATGAACCAACTAGTCTGCAAAAAAGTATTGCCAAAGGTGGACTTGTTGCTATTAGCCAAATTGCAGTTGTGACAACAGATGAGGGACGAGTGAGCGATTTATAGCTGACTTGAAAGGTTCGTTGCATATTCCCTGCCACCTGCTGTGCGGTATTGTTTGGCTTACATGTTCGCTGGAGCATCGAATACCAATCAGTGACATTTTGTGATGATGCTGAAGAAGTGTTGTAGGGCCCCTGTAAGGGCAACAAGGTCAGGCTACCATTAGGTGTCTTTGAGATAGCTGTATAAACATTTCAGCTGGTTGGTTAGCCACTTTATCGATGGTTGCGGTGTAAAGGCACGCATGGATGAAAGGGGGGCAAGAAACAAGCCAGCATTGTTTGCATGGTGCTTAACGTCATCCACTTGTAGTCTTCCGCCGCAAGTTTGTTAAGTATCTGTAACACGGGCGGCTTCACATTTGATGAGATTGGCAGGTGAAAAATTGCAGCAGGGCATGAGCAGAATTCATCAGTAGCTTTATATTATTCTGACGGGCTGGTATCAGTTCACTAGATATATACACTCAGTTCATCCAGGTTGGATTGCAGTGCAGAGAATATTTACTTCGCCTTGCTCTCTTAACATCAGAGTTCTTTTTTAACTGCTGCCAACTTGCCGGTTTGCCTTTCCTTTCAGGTCGAAGCAGTCCCCCCTGTTCATGATCAAGCGGGTGATCGAGCTGTTTGTACATAACAAGCACAAAATCGACAAGAGACACGAGTTTGCCCTCGTCGTCTTCCACGAAGTGCCTCTTTGGGTGAGTCTCGCACCGTTGAGTCCACCATTCTGCCGTCTCACTCACTTCAAGAGCAGTGTAAGTGTTCTATGCATCTTCTAGTACCATCTGGCATAATGTGCCTGAGAGGCCTTTAGGCATCGGGCATCCAACGTCGCAGAGTTTTCTATAAATAGGCAAGAGAGAACTCTGGCTTTAGTGTCTACGGGAGCTGCAACGTACAGCACTTCAGCCAGCTGAGAATGGTGGGTAGTAGGTACACGAATTTGCCTAGTTTTTGTACTTTCGGCTTTGTTTGGCTTCGCGTGGCTTGGAGCTGCTTTGTCACGAACCGAGACACTCAGCCAATGTTCAGCAGTTGCACTTCACCACCTTGACCTTTTAATCTGGGCAGTTTAAGCCGGGTCATAAAGTTCACTACGGTTCGTTCTTTCATTGGAAACAAAACCAAAACACAACAATAAACAAAGCCACAATTGCATATAAAGCTCGCAAGCATGAAGACTAGGCAAATTTATGTATTGCCTATCATTCCAACGGCAGCTGAACTATCGCAGCGCCAGAGTTTTCTCTAGTTAACCTTAAGAAACTCTACGTCTAACATGACCAAAAGGTGCCGTACGTATACAGGGGCCGTACGTATACCGGTGTGATACGGCACACTACTCATCGCGATCAAGCCCGATCACGATCACATTTCATAAAGGGGCCTTTCACTCGTGAACATCTGCAAACATTTACGAGTGAAACCCCAGCTGGAAATTGACTCGCTCGTGAATGTTAAACGTGCCAGAACTTGTGTTCTAGTGGGTTTAGAACATCCGTTTTTGTTGCACTACACACAGTAATCATTCAAGGTTGTTGTGATATGCTGGTTTACTTTGTAACTCTCTCAGATTAGTAGTAATCCTGCTCACCGAAAGGCACATAATGCATATTGTATTTCGAAAAGGGCACACTCTACTGGAAAACTAAATGTATAATTTGATATCGGCACACATGCATAAACTCCCCAAGTTTCATCAAAAATGACAAAGAAGTAAAATATTTTTTAGAGCAGTGTCCCCCTTAGAATTTCAGTGTCATAGCCTGTTATAACAAATAGTTGCGTGTATGTTTCCGGCGACCGCTAGATGGTAGCTTTCTTTATCGGGCTTCACAAATTTATTTCTGTTGTTTTTACAAGATTGTTAAGCTATTGAAGGTAGACCTTTTATGTGAAATGTTTCTTAAAAATGTATATTTTTTGTTGCCAAATTAACTTTTTCAGAATAAATTATTTAAGAGAAAGAGCAAAGAAAAATTTTTTGGATAAGTACAAAGTGACGAAAAAAATCATTTGTGTTGTTGCATACACATAGTTTATTTGTGAGTAACAGCAGGACAAATGACAAAAAGAGTTAATGGAGAGTACCTTAGTAACCTGCGCTTTGCCGATGACATTGCATTGCTGAGTTACTCGGGGGACAAATTGCAACTCATGATTACGGAGTTAGACAAGGAGAGCAGAAAGGTGGGTCTTAAAATTATTCTGCAGAAAACGAAAGTAATGTACGACAACCTCTGAAAAGTGCAGCACTTCGAGATAGGTAATAGTGCAGTTCAAGTTGTAAAAGACTATGCCGAATTAGGGCAGGTAATAACCGTGGAGCCGAACCACGAGATTGAAGTAACTAGAAGAATAAAAATGGGGTGGAGCACATATGGCAAGCACTCTCAAATCATAACGGGTATATTGCCACTATCTCTCAAGAGGAAGGGATATAACAGCTGCATCTTGCCGGTAATTAGCTACGGAGCAGAAACCTGGAGACTTACAAAGAGGGTTCAGCTTAAATTGAGGACGACGCAGCGAGCAATGGAAAGAAAAATGGTAGGTGTAACCTTAAGAGACAAGAAGAGAGCAGAGTGGATTAGGGGACTGTGATGCAGGTTCTTGTTGCTGATTTGTTTTTCTCCTGGTTGAGCCTCAGAGAGTTTTGTTAATAAGGACAAAGCCGTTCGGTTTCCAAGAAACACACAAAAAGTTTAATTGAAAAGTAAAAAGGCGAAGATTCCTCACAAAACAAAACACTTAATAAACAGTTGACTGGACATGACGAAACACATCTGTAAACACCCAACAAGAACGTTCAAAGTCAGTAACTAAACCTAACGTTCGAAAGGGGCTGAGTGATGGGAGTAGCGCAAGAGTATCGGTGCAGTCTCACCCACAAGTTGGTTTTCGGCGGTGATGAGAAACCGGAACGCCGTGACTCCGGCGTCAGTGCGTGGGCTGGACGAGGACGAGGACGAGGGAACGCTGGCTGCTGGCGACACGTCGAAAAGCCCTACCAAATCGTGATGGTTTCGGCTTGAGGAGCGTGGACACGTCGGAGACGGGAGAACGCAGGCTGGTGGCGACGCGTCAGGGAACTAGGGTCGACCTAGTCAAGCAGCTGGGCGCACAGCTCGGGCCCGGAGCCCGACGGCTGTAGCTCGCCTGCCGGAACCAAAGTCCGCAGGCCCTAGGAAGGAGTTCAGGACCGGATGGCCACGGTCCTTTGGAGCGGGAACCCGACAGCAGGAGGCCCCGGCCGGTGGAAGTCCTGTAGGCTCGGGTCCGGAACCCAACGGCCCATCTTCAGCACCCGGTCCGGTGACGACCTTCCGCTTGCACTGCCTGCCTCGAATTCCCCTTGCTCTCGTCTGCTCAGGCTCCTGCTTCAGCTCTGGCCCACTTGTCTCGTTCTCATTGGAGATACTGCTGTTTCGTGGTGTCAAGCCATTGGGCCTTGGAATCTCCGTGTTCGCTGCCCATTGGATGTTTTACCTTTTGTTTACTTCACGTCCTGCCACGCATCCTCGTGCTTGACGCTCTTTAACGTCGTCATTCTTGTTTAAGCAGCACCGCACGTGCACTCTGGTATTTCTCCTTTTGTTTTTTTTTTGTTTTTTTCCGTGACGCGCACTTTTCGAAGGCGCGCACTTTAAACGCGCACCACACATCACATACGCCCCCCTTTTATTCAAGTTTTTTTTTAGAAAAAAAAAACTGCCGATGAGTGCGCGTTCTGCACTACGTCACAATTAAACCACATATTTGCACCACGCAGTTCAACACATCACCGGGCTACAGTTCGCTACATCGTCCAAAGGTCCACATTCGCTAACCACTATATACACACGAAGCAAAAAAATTCTGAACTCAACTAGCGGATCATAAAAATTCCCAAATTAGCCTGTTTAGTACAGCCCATTTTTTTCATATATACCCTATTAGGTAAAAAAAAAGAACTACACATCGAGTCAATGTTATATTGCATGTAACTTCTTAAACTGTTCCCATGAAACAGCCTTCCGCAGTCCGAAACCAAGATCCAGAAGAAATCACCAGGAAATCAAACTTGACGCTTAAGTTATAGCGTCCCAAACAAAATGTTTAGTGGCCCTAACCAATTGACAAGAGTGAGGAATTCGACGCCGGTGGAAGAATTGTCGAACGTATGCCCGTCTGAACCTAAAGCTGTGTATCACCAGACGCCCAACCTCTAAATCACAAGCATACACGCTGGAATGGCTGTACGCCAATCGGAAGCGTTTCCTCCAGGCGTGGCAGTAAAACCACGTCTGAATAATTTCATCCTTCCCAGGAACGCTTTCCTTGAGCTCGTAAGCCGATAATTGTACAGACACCTTTAGAAAAGCGACCTCTTCAACCGAAGATGCCGGAGAGCACCAGTAGGTGTCCTTCCTCGTACATTGAGTTGCTGGACCATTACTCCCTGCGTGCTCAGCCTCCATCACTTCAGCTTTTTGTCTTGCTCTTTCATCAAAACTTTGAACCCCTCTGCCCGAGTCATCGTGCCTATCCTCATTACCACGTAGAGCTGACTTACACTGCAACTCTACTCTCTGTTCTTCAAGTTTTTCTGCATTTTGCTCCAGTTTACTCATGAAAGCATCATCTACAATTTCTCGAGAACTCAAGCCCTCTCTCTGTATAGGCGAGTTATATTCATCGTGAAAAGCTGTGTACGTAGCACCTGTTGCTACATCCAGTGGCCCAAAACAAAAGGCAGAAACTAGATCGGAGCTTTCATTACGGCATTCGCCGGCGTTAGCTAGATGTTTTATTGCTCCTTCAATGGAGCTCTTCAGAGACAATCCTACCTCTGCATGAAGTGTGCTTGACTTCTCGCAGGTTTTAACACACCCTTTACTTTGAATGGAACGTTCTTGTTCCATGCTCACGAAGCATTCCCGTGCTTCAACAAGCTCCTCGAGCCTTTAGTTTCTTCACTACCCACCTCCCTGTCATACGCTTGCCTAGTTTCACTCTCTAGCGAAAGGTCATGAGGTGGTACAGGGTCAGCCTGACATAAATTCAAATCGCTCGTGACGTAACTGCTGTCAGAGCACACCTCAACCACTCGTTCACTCCTCTCTTGTGCTGAGCCTGGTGCTGAGTCAACAGTTCTTGTCTCTACACGGCTATTCTCAGCTTCGGCAAGTCTAAGACGCAGTTGCAGGTTTTGGTTCTCTAATTCCAGCTGCTCCTTCTTTGCGCGTGTCTCCAGTTCGAGCTGTTTTTCTTTTTCGCGCGTCTCGAGCTCAAGCTGCTCCTTCTTGGCCTGCGTCTCCCGTTCCAACTGTTCCTTTCGAGCTTCTCGTTCCGCAGCCCGTTGCTCACGCTCCCTCTCCATCCGCTCCTCGTACCATACTCTAAACTCCGCTCCCGTCAGTCCCATTTTATCCGCCAACTCAATTAACTCCCACGTGTTCGTCATCGTGTTAACCGCGTCAAAAAATCTACTGGAAAAACAAACGACTTTGTCCTGTCGCGGCGGACGCCAGTTTGTGATGCAGGGTTCTTGTTGCTGATTTGTTTTTCTCCTGGTTGAGCCTCAGAGAGTTTTGTTAATAAGGACAAAGCCGTTCGGTTTCCAAGAAACACACAAAAAGTTTAATTGAAAAGTAAAAAGGCGAAGATTCCTCACAAAACAAAACACTTAATAAACAGTTGACTGGACATGACGAAACACATCTGTAAACACCCAACAAGAACGTTCAAAGTCAGTAACTAAACCTAACGTTCGAAAGGGGCTGAGTGATGGGAGTAGCGCAAGAGTATCGGTGCAGTCTCACCCACAAGTTGGTTTTCGGCGGTGATGAGAAACCGGAACGCCGTGACTCCGGCGTCAGTGCGTGGGCTGGACGAGGACGAGGACGAGGGAACGCTGGCTGCTGGCGACACGTCGAAAAGCCCTACCAAATCGTGATGGTTTCGGCTTGAGGAGCGTGGACACGTCGGAGACGGGAGAACGCAGGCTGGTGGCGACGCGTCAGGGAACTAGGGTCGACCTAGTCAAGCAGCTGGGCGCACAGCTCGGGCCCGGAGCCCGACGGCTGTAGCTCGCCTGCCGGAACCAAAGTCCGCAGGCCCTAGGAAGGAGTTCAGGACCGGATGGCCACGGTCCTTTGGAGCGGGAACCCGACAGCAGGAGGCCCCGGCCGGTGGAAGTCCTGTAGGCTCGGGTCCGGAACCCAACGGCCCATCTTCAGCACCCGGTCCGGTGACGACCTTCCGCTTGCACTGCCTGCCTCGAATTCCCCTTGCTCTCGTCTGCTCAGGCTCCTGCTTCAGCTCTGGCCCACTTGTCTCGTTCTCATTGGAGATACTGCTGTTTCGTGGTGTCAAGCCATTGGGCCTTGGAATCTCCGTGTTCGCTGCCCATTGGATGTTTTACCTTTTGTTTACTTCACGTCCTGCCACGCATCCTCGTGCTTGACGCTCTTTAACGTCGTCATTCTTGTTTAAGCAGCACCGCACGTGCACTCTGGTATTTCTCCTTTTTTTTTTTTTTTTTTTTTTTTCCGTGACGCGCACTTTTCGAAGGCGCGCACTTTAAACGCGCACCACACATCACAGGGACAAACGGGGGATAAGGATATCGTAGTTGAAATAAAGAAGAGGAAATTGACATGGGCCGGGCATGTAGCGCATAGACAGGATAACCACTGGTCATTAAGGGTAACTAACTGGATTCCCAGAGAAGGGAAGCGGGTTAGGGGGAGACAGAAGGTTAGTTGGGCAGATAAGATTGAGAAGTCTGCCGATATAAAGTGGCAGCAGCAAGCACAGGACTGAGTTAACTTGTGGAACATGGGAGAGGCCTTTGCCCTGTAGTGGACGTAGTCAGGCTGATGATGAGTGAGTGAAGCACTGGGGAGTTCGGTGTCACCGTCAATCACCCCTGACATTGCCCACTCTCTCATGGGGTGTTTAGCCGCCGCTTGCTGCGCCTTCGATTCCGGAGTAGCTTGTTGTTGGCATTGTCATTTTTATGGTGTTGTGGCTGTCTATTTTGTTCTGGTTAACAGCCTTTCTTTTGTTCTTATTAACCTCTTGTTCTGTCATATGCTATGATTGGTGAGTGGGTAAATGTCCGTGTTTTTACGGTTTTGTGGCTTTTTATCTAGTTTTTTCTGGTTAACAGCCTTTTGTTAAGCTCTTGGTTGCTCACATTCACCTGTGCTACATCTGCTGTACACATAACAGTTTGTGGGCGCATAGGCAATTTGGTTTCTAAGGTGTTTCGCACCTAAAGAACTTATACTATTGTTTAAATATTATGTGTCACAATAAACGTCCACGTATGTTCACAGAGGTACTGGAATAAGCACAGAAAGTGGCATTAAGTCAAATAAGGAGGAGTGGGAGAAAAGCCACTTGTGGTTCAGTCTGAATCATCTCACCCCTCACGCTCCTCAGATGTTGCTCACTCGTCAACATCCGAGTCTTGACTCATAAGTGACTTCTCGCATGATGGGCTGACATTTACTGAATCGGATTCTGATTCAGCAGTGGAGCGGCGATTCCGGCATGTACTTCCGTAGTGAAAGCAAACCGTGGGGGGTGAGCGCCCTGAAAGGAACTGTGCAGTTGCGAGAACATCTACAAAGCATAAGCAAGTCCAAAACTTACAATGTTCCTTTGTATTTATCATCAGCAAGACCGAAGCAGTTTTCATAAGTTCCGACATGGGAAATACAACCACATCAGTGTTGTTCGTGTGAGTTGGTCGGTGCACAAAAACAGGCGTAACTGCATACTTGTGAACTACAGACAGGCGAGTAAGAAATCGGTCATTCTGAGCTGGAAAAAGAGACTGAACTGGAAAGCCATCAGTTTGGCAGGTGTAACAAGCAAGAACTAGCCAAATAATAAAAGCAAGACTACCTGGTGCACAACTGTAATAAAGCATTAAAAAACAGAAAAAAAATCATGTATTCCTGCAGTTTGACAGTGCATGTGAAGCAATACAAATTATTGAAGAACGTGTGTATTAAAAACATACGGGTAGTGGCGTAAATCAAGAAAATCGCAAGGGGGGACACAAGTAAGCACCATAGTGGCCTTTTTTTTTTTTAAGTATGAGTTGTATTTTTGTTACAAAGAAATAAATCATGCTTTGAAATACACTTTTAAAAAGTAACTTGTGGTCCAAGATCCAGCATTTCATTGCCCTATTTGATCTTCTTTGAACCGGTCAAGTGGCTTTTGCAATTTCCATGGTCTCACAGAGCTGAGGGTTATTGAACGCAGGTAAACCCTCAGAAATAATCAGCCTTTAAAAAAATGTTGGATGCGTTGTACCTAAGTGGCAAGTAACTCAAATATGTGATGTGCTAAAACTAAATCTCAAGGTGGGACACTTGCAAGGCACGTCGCCCATCCCTCCAACCTGAACACAAGGAGGTCCGTACTCTCTCACCCACCCCATGATTTACACCGATGCATACAGGCTATGAGGCATACATAGGCATACAGGCTTTAAGGGTCGTTCACCCTCAAAGGGTTCATGAGAACTTGTTTATGTTTGATGTATTTTCATAAACACAAAATGGAATTTCTGCAGAACGTAACATTTTGTCCAGTGTGTAAATTTAAAGAAGGTATTGTTGATTCCCACACGTTCATTAATGGCTTATCACCTGTGCTTTTCTCAACTCTTCAGATCAGGAACTTCACGAGTGAGCCGAAGGAAATCTCCAACTTTCTCGAGGACCTGAACGAAACGAGGCATTGTGAAAGCTGCGGTATCCTTTTTTTTTTTCATGACATTTTCATCATTATGTGTGGCTTTTGTCAGCTGCATTTTCTAGTTCCTGTGAAAGAGGCTCTGTGAGACGCTGAGGCTTCTCTTCCTTACACTTTCTTGGCTAATCGTGATGGTGTCGGTGGAATGAGATTCTGCAGACGCGCGATGAGCCAACGCATTGTGTCCTAGTCGGTACCCGCTGGCACGCGCTCGCTCGTTCGGGCCTGCGTAAGTGGCTGTGTAAGAAGAGGCTGTGGCCTCAGCAATCGTGATAGCGTCAGGGGAATGAGATTCTGCAGACGCGCGATGAAGCCATGTGCTCCTGCGTCACATGGCAATGAACCTGCGTGGCAAGCTCCAACAAAAGTTCGAGACGGGTAACAGCAACAGAAACTAGGTACAGTAAATTCATGGTGTGCTCCACTTTCAAGGACGCGTTAACATGGAGCAAGGTGCCCGTAATGAACGGAACTTGAAGTCGACCCATGCGCTGCTTCACATGCTATTCATGGTTCTCTTCAGTGGAAGATGGTGTAATTTTTTTTTCTTTTGGGTAAGGCGCCAAGGAGCTGAATAACCTGCAAATTCTGAAGCATGTCCCTTTCATTGAGGTTTGTACCAACGGATAATGCAGGTCCACTGACAAATTATTACTCAGTTTACAAAAGCTCTGAGGTTTCACTGAGCATAAGTTCACACTACAATTTAAACCAAGCATGCTATATCAAGGGATTAGAGGATGTTCTCTTCCAAATTCTAGGTATGCCTCATCAGCCTAACTGGTAACTCGTTATAGATAAACTTTGCCTTTTTCAATCATCAATCTGCGCACAGAAGCCATGCTGTATGTTTGTGTGCTTCATCTCTGTGCTACCGGGTGCCACCAATCGTCGTAATTTGCTCATGCATTCTCATGCAGTAGCCTGATAATCTTCAAATTTTGAGAATTCAGCTCACAAACTTTAAGCTTAGGATAACGATTGCTGCCAATTGTCAATACAGAAATTGTGGGTGTAGTCTCCTGGCATTAGAGTGAGGGCTGCGAACACGCATACCTTGGTGTCGATTGGAATGCAATAGCTTCTGGCTCACTGCGCCAACATTCTGTAACCACTGGTCTTTGTCAGTTGCCCTGCAGAAGCAATAGACGTCAGAGCTGGACATGTTGGTAATCATTATTGTGTTCGTTTACTACTAGGGCTCTGTGTTTTAATAGTTTATATTTCTTGAAATTTGGTGGGTGTTTTACAAAGTTTATTTTTTGGTGGGAATTCATTGTTTATTGGTCTTTATTTCTCATAAACCCTATATTCTCCTAAATGTGGAGTTTAATTTTGCTTTATTCTTAATACTCCAAAATGAAGTCTGTCGTGAGGGTCTCACATCCAGGAAGCTTATTGTCATAGAAGGTTGCAAGCACCACGACTGCCGGAAAACACGGTGTTCCGGAACTTGATGATGATGGTGGCGATGAAGCAGTCTTGCATCAAAAAGCTAATCGTTGCAGTTTCTACTGCGCCAACCTCATATGCAGGTATTTTCAGTATAGTTGATCACTAGCAGGAATCGAGTGTGCCGCCAGACACTTGTATCGAAAGAAGTTGCCGAAAGTTCCCAAAGGTTGGTGCAGCGGGTTGCCAGCGTGACAGTGTGCATGACAAAACTGGTGCGTGAGAGAAAGTTCATGTCTTCTAAACTGGTTCATGTATCAGTGACCACTTGGACAAGCCCTTTTTTTAAAGTATAGAACAGGGTTATATTGGCCTCTAAAATCTGAGTTTATGGTGTAAATCTGAATTGTAAAAACTTTATTAGCGAGTGTTTATCAGATTTTCTTGGAGTTACCGTAAAAAACGCAATGTATGTTGACCCCCCCCCCCCAAAAAAAAATTTCGAATCTCCGAAAAAGAAATTTTTAAAAATCTAAAGTATCATGGTGCATGATTAGGATTCGTGAGTAGGATTTATGTTCTTAAATCATGTTTAAAAAAGATACGATAATTGGTACGTCATACAGCCTAGCGGAGGAGTCTTGAAGCTGGATTAAGAAGTGAATCACTTTGCTGTGTGTAGTCACGTTGTCTGATCTTGTCGTGTGCCCCATAATCAGTCCTCAAAATTTAGAGCGTGTATATTATCTACCTCCACTCCATTCTATGCCACTTACGAGGTAAAAAGAGTTCCGCAGTGAAAAGTGGCGCTGTCTTTGGCGCCGCCAGTAAGCCACGTCAAGCCGGGCCGCACGCGCGGAGTGCACGCATGCGCAGTAAACTGCCGTGCGCAAACACAAACCACCCTCACGCTCGCCGTCTGCAGCACGGGTCGTCACGTGCGCATACATCTTCATATTCACCGGAGATGGAAAAATTAGGATTACAAAGGTTTCATGCCATGCTTTACATGATTAGGCATGATTAGTTGCATGATTAGGCACCCTGACTGGTAAGCGTTCCACTGAGCTTAAGAAAGTGGGCACCCCGGAAATTGGTTGTCTGTCCCATGGAACTTATGCTACCGACCAACAAGTTTGTACACAGCTGTCTAAACTGTTTCGGGGTCCTTTTAAATGTGTTAATATGCTATTGAAGTGCGTGTGATTGAAGCACTCTCTTCTTGTTTATGTGCTTATTCTTGTTGAAAATTGTATCAGCATTTAAAAGTTGTGCTTGTATTGTGAGTGGGTAACAAATTTCGTGCACTATATTGAAGCCTTGACTAAAAGCCGACCAGACCTCACTGGTTTGTTTGATGCAATGTAAGTATTTGAACATTTTGATGACCATTTGTTTCAAGCAAAGCTTTTTCACCTTCCGATTATGCCATTGAATTGTTCTTCCTATCTGCACTGTCTCATTCGACCTTGTTTGAGAATCTCTTTCTTGGTATAGTATATTTTTTTACATGTTAGAACTGCAGTTGGCGTTCGTCTCACACTCTGAAGTCATTTTTATTTTCCTGTTTAGCAAAACTGTGCACTTGTGCGAAATATCTGTTTCCAGCTAACATCATTCCAAACGAACTGTGAAATACGGGGTGTCAACCAATCGTTTACTGAAAGTTTAGCATCTATTATTACTATTAGTAAACTTCTATGTTTGAGCACGGCAGTTTACTAAGCAACTGTTCAGCGAACTACTTTGTTGCACTATGGAACACTTTGTGTGGACCACCTGCTCTGGTCTTGACTCGGCTCATGCATAAAGTACATGAATGAAGCAAGAAATTCCGTGGTCGGCTAGTTTAACGCAAGCATGTGAAGCTTCGGCAGTAATTCGAGCCACTGATGCTGGGGGCCCTGCATCTCTGCTTTCCGGAATAGACTCTGAGCCACAGTAGCATATTGCACCATATTATGCAGTGGGCTTTAGCACTGGAAGCCATCAACGCAAAAACAGCCACATTTTCATTTCTTCTGCATAACACTTCCATATTCCGCTACTCTATAGCAGCGCTAAACTAAGTATAGTAGTGATAGTCCAACATGAAGGAACCCCAACGTGTAGAAATGGATAACTGCAAATCCAGTATCCGTGGTCCAGCCTTTGCTGTGCCTGCCTGTAGAGGACTTGTATTTGGTGTGGCAAATCTGGCATTGCATTAGTGTCTGTCATCTGTTCGAACTAAATGTCTGCAGACTCCTTACTTCTACGTATTTTATTCCAGTGTTTGTTCGGCATTGGCGGTATCCAACTGCCTCAAACTTGTCGGGCATCTGCCATTGGATGTGAACTCGCATTTGGTGTTCATCTTTTTCAAAATTTCTTAGGAACAGACGCAAACGCCACAAATTTTTTACTACAACTGTGGCATTAAAAGAAGTCCTAAAGTGCACCTCAGGCTTCGTGAAAAAACACGCTCATTGAAGAGCAAATGCTGTTGTGAACAGTTCAGCAAAACTATGTAGAAGTGTAGCATGTAGAGCTTACATGGGCAGCACAAAGTTTTCACTTTCTTAAGGGCCCTGTATTCGTACAGAAGCCTTGTGCTCATTCACGTTCTTGGACTGGACACTAGCCGTATGTCATCAAACAGCCTATCGTATTGGCTGTCAGCTGACATTCCAGTCTTGCTCTCACTTTCTTTCGCGTGTGTGCATTCACACATCAATTACTGCATAACCACATGGGGTAACACATACGCCACTCATCTGAAACCACTACAAATCATTCAGAACCAGGCCATTCAATTAATCACGTTTAGTTCGGCCACCCACAATGCTAAACAATTTTTACAAGAAAATAAAATTCTCGATGTTGCCAGCCTTGTAAATTCAATCTTAACACTTTTCTTTTCAAAGTAATTAATAAACAAATATCATTATCATCAATTCATTCATTAGCTTTACTAAATACTAACCCAACTCATTTTGCGCAGCATAATAACTTCATTCTGCTTAAAGCACGAACTAATTATGGCAAACAGACAGTTCACTTTGCGGCCATATCATTATGGAACACAGTGCCATTTCTAATAAAAATTCAGAAACCACATAAATTTTTCATGAATTGAAAAAATTTTTGTTATGCGATACTCACTCTCCTGACTAACCGGTTTCTTCCTCGCCATGTCATTCTCTTTTCAGTCTCTCGTTTTTTTTTTTTTTTATGTCATGCTATTCATATACGAGTATATAAGTATATTTTACAATTTATATTTCCGACTGCATTTAGTTGATGAGAGCATTGTGATTTATATGTATCTGTAATTCATTTTTTAAACCTTGTATTCTCTTAGTTTCGCACTGTTGTTGCTAACCAAATACTTGTGTTTACGTTTCATAGGAGGTCCCATTTCAGTGTACACTACGGGACCTCCTTCTGTATATTATATTTTGTACATCTTATTATGAAATAATAAAACTTGATTTAAGTTGATTTGATAAATTAGGAGTGAGATTTGGATTAGATGTGCTGCCTGTCATGGGGTGCCAACATGCCCTGGTGTCACGCTTCTTGGGATTCTGAAATCGCACGGTGAAAACGCTAGTGTGCACAGGAACCGCAATTGGAGAGGGTGGTCACTTTTCGTGGTGCGTGCTCAGTGTCGTGACGCGTGCTGGTGTAGCTTCTTTCCTCCCGCGTGTCAACCCCCTCCTCCCTGTTTAGCTTCCGGTACACTTGACGATACAAGAGGAGAGAGAGACCTTGAAGCATTGCGACAATTCTCTGTAATTTCTCTCGTTCTTGGCGCATTCGAAAATTTTGCAGAAGTCGTTTCTTAAGGCATGTTAGATCGCTGATTACATGTAAGGTTGGTTCAGGACCCCTTACCCCTTGGCTTCTGCACCTGGTATTCTGTTGGAAAATTTCCACGGCATTGCTTGGTGTATATATATATATATATATATATATATATATATATACATATTGCAATAAAATTTGCAAATTAAATAATAGAAGAACAAATATCTGTTAGCAATGCTTTTCTACATCAACTATTTCACTATGATTTGCATCCGTGAAGAACCATGAAGCACACAGACATGTGAAAAGCAACTTTTGTGCGTTTCTCGCACTCTCATTGGCTCTTGTACGTTTTTCTGTGCGTCTGGCAAACTAAGCACCACCTTAAGCAATTCGTCTTTCATTTGTTTGGCAGGATATCATGAGGAAAATGAGCCCGCTTGGCGGCTTGTGGGCACGTTGGTAAGGCCATGACAGGCGGGCTTTCGCGTGACACCCTGTGCCACAAAAGCTAGGATCTTGCACCCTTCGTCCCCACAAAACACACACACACACACAATTACAAACACCTCCAACAACGGGCAATTATGTCCATCCAGCGAAGTACATACTCAGCGAACGTAAAGTAATGTGCTGCCATCTGTGAAACAATGTCAAAAAGAACCACTTTCTAAGCGGCTGCGGAAGCGGACACGTTAAATGTTGTTATCCGACTTTCATGGTCTGTTGACTGCAGTTTCAAGTTCCACGCCTTGTGTGCCATCCGGTTACGCTGGCTAAGATTGCTCATTTCATTTTGTTCTGATGTGAGAGCTCGTGAAACAACCAGGGTTAGGTGGCTGGCTCATTTCGGCTGTTCTTTCATGCTCACAGAACTGAACATACTCACATCCCTGAAGTGGGCCGGGAGGCAGTCTTCCCACCACCTTTCCTGGTTCGAACAATCCTCATCTATGGCCGGTCCAACAGCGTCCCTCAGGTTCACAGTGACCTTCAAGTAAGGAAAGTGAAACCACTAGTGTAACATTACGGAGACACATGGTATAACAGAGATGAATGCCTATATGTGTCTTCTGTCTTTGCCCTAAGTCGTGCTGCATTTATCCGAGGTGTGCACCAACTCGCCCAAGTCATAGTGTTATTGGAATAGAAGCAGGTATTTTCACCTCTCGCTGTGTTGGTACACTGTGCTAAAGAGGCATACGGAACGACTATGCCCACCTTTATTTGTCAGGGAGCATGGGTAGTCTGCATGAGGTACTCACGCAGGTTGGCCATGTCCCGCACATTTCCAGGTATTCTTTTTTTTCGTGTGTGTGTGTGTGTTTTGTTGGCCTGTCGGCTGCACTGCTGTCAGGTTGGGGGCGCTCACGCTTGCCTCTCCAATGAATGGAAACATTACTCAATCGCTCAACTCTTTTGCTCGCCACAGCCTCGCACGGTGCTATCATCGGCAAACGAGGTGTCTGTAGCCCCTTCCTATCTCTTTCTGTCATATTGACCACAGAACATGCCATTTCTCTGTGTTCAAAGCTTTCCTGATACTATTCCCGAAACAAAGCTGACACTGGGGGTGGGTTACAGCCACAAACACAGAATGCAATATTTTTTAAATGATATATACATGTTTATCTGATTGTGTACTGCTGAGTCGGGCACTTCAGGACCAGCACCTCAGTGATGTTCGAGTGCATGGACCATATGCTAGTTGTTGATGCACAGAAATCTGATTTCCACATACCACATCTGTGAGTTTTGCATAACTGTAATGCAACTGAGAATGCATGTTTGATGCATGATTATCCTGAAAACTTGCTGATTCTGACTGCCGAGTTCCGGACCTTGTACATCGTAGCCAAATGGTTCTATGCTGAGGCTGGCCAGGGAGAAATGATTTGAATTGAGAGAGACAGGCTCCTATAATGTAGTTTCATGCAGAAAGTTGAATACAAACAAAAAACATTACAGCACCTGCTAGATAATAAAAGCATTACTGACAGAATGAGCTTCAACCACAGTCATATAACATATATATATATATATATATATATATATATATATATATATATATATATAATATATATATGCATTTATTGGTGCTGTGCAGAGAGGTGGTAGTCACATACAGAAAGCTGTCTAGTAAGTGTGTTGTCCTCTGCGCAACATCCTTGATGGTTAGCAGGTTCATGTTGTTTATTGGAAAAGGAACCTTGTGCTGCACTCGAATAGGTTCCCACCTTGTGCTGCACTCGAATAGGTTCCCAGTTAGTTTGGTCGAGGGTGTTTCCGGTGCAACAGCATCAACACTCTTTGAGCTTGGATTGCCCCCTCTCTTTATGCCGTCTCCTTCAACCTCGGGACGTCAAGTCAAGACTTCAGCCTCAGTACAATCATCCTAGATATCTCAGTCTGTCATAGTCTCGACAGTCTCAGTGTATTCGAGCGAGCTGTGAGAACATTGTACACCAGCCAGAAAGGCTTGCGTTGCTGCTTAAAATCGGTAGCTCGCACAGAAGATTAGTCATTAAACCATAGCGTCTTCCTTTATTGGTTGGATGGATCATGTGAAATAATCGTAGTAAGAGAATGCAAACACTTCTTTAACATAGGGAGAGGGTGAGCGCACCTCATTTCGTCAGTGGACCTTCGAACTCTCTCGACAAACGGGAAAGTGCGCCTTTCTGCAGAAGTGGTTGCATGTTGTACTTTACTGACCCGAGTGTGCAATATGCCATCACTCACACAATAAAGTTCAGCAACACCACTGTGTGCTGTCACGCTGGCTTCGTAAACGATATGGTGTTTTGAGATAGGGTGTTGCCATTTATGACGCTATGCGGGCAACCAATGTGGAAGCGTCACTGCAACTCAACTGCATGTGCCGACTTTAAAGAGCCCTGTGTTGCAGCGGCGGCATTGCTTCGAGCCACAAGGGAGCCCAAAGGAACAAATCTGACAGACATGTGATACTGAAGTGGGAAACACGTCTTTTGCATCTCTGGGGGAAAGCCCTCGAAAGCATGAGTGACGTCAGCAGCGCGGACCCCTCACATAGTGCCGCACCGCGACCACTCCCTGAATTAAGGCAGAGCGATGGCTCCACTTGAGAAGGGCACATTCGCTCCGGCATTGAAAGTAATAAAGAAGGCGTTGACTGAGCGATAGGAATACTTTGCAACCTTTCTGCAAAATTTTGAGCAGGAGTAAGCACGAAAGCTTTTCTCGTGAAATCTTCAGCTATGAATTCATTTCATCGAATGTAGCAATTTTTCATGCACTCAAGCCTCATTCACAGAGGAAAACTTTTCTGTCACGCAAGTAGGCACAGTTTTATTGGCAAATAAATCATTGTTCTCGTCCTGAAACTCTCATTTGCACAATGATGTGCTACTTGCAAACTCTTTCAAGACATTCTGTGTCATAGTGGGAAGAGAAAAGAGGTGCTTACTCGTGGTTGGCATCACCCCTCTCGTCCATTCATAGTCGTGCGTTCCTCGGTCACACTATAGAGCGTCAGATGCGTTCCAGTGCTGCTGTTACGTGTGACAGTCATGGCCACGTTACTGGGTAGCCACGGTGGCAGTGTTCCACTTCTACGCTGTCTATGGCTAAGCTGTCGCATTCCCCTTCGTTTTTTCATAGCGTCGCATTCTGATTGACTTGAAACAGGCAGTGCTTCGCTGCCGTCGACGAAAATCAGTCTTGGACCAACCAGCCCAGCGAAGGGCCCTTCTTGAAGTTACGCGTTGCATCAAGTGACCGGAAATTCTGCGATGTACATGGCGCTATATGGTTGTGCTGTGTCACATATGCTGGAACCAATACCTTCAATATTGGTTACAGCATAACCGATGGAAGCACAGTCAAACATATGCAGAAAATGCGACTGCAATGGAACAGATATCTAACAAAGTGCGATCGAACAACCGAATTTCTGTGAAGCTGCTGTCAACTTGCTTTTTCTTTCTCTTTCTCCTCAGATTCTCAAACAAATGATGCATTCGCTCTACTTCTTCCTCGATATCCTCTACGTGCACGAACCCTTGTCTGAGACGAACTGCTGTCAAGTAAGTTCGCTTTGTTCTCCTCTCGGGCGCCAGTTGTGTGATATCGGTCTTGGTGCCGAATATTTTTCGCGCACTTCTGATTGGAGCATAGCTAAGCAGGAATGAAATGAACACTGCTATGGCAGCGACACCGATTGATTCTTTGCTTCACTTCATGTGATTCCGTTCTTTTACTTGACATCATTGTTATAATGTGCGACGTACAGACTCTTGATCACTGTTTGCATGCTGTGCTATTTCTTTGAATAAAAATGTCGTTTGTTAGACCGGTCGCTGCGATGTACCGTATTTACTCTCATAATTATCGCACTCTTTTTGCCGGAAAACCGATGCGAAGTTGGGGGGTGCGAGAATTACGCGGGGAAAACTTTCCACGAGAACGTAGAGAGCGCAAAAAGAAAACGTAGTGGTTGCAAATCGGGATTCTCACACCAGCAACTTACAGCAAGCTTTAAGAAGTACTAATTAGAACTTACCTTAACAATAAAAGCAGAGGTTCGACACAAGACAAGGTTTATTTGAGACACAAAAAGTGGAAGCAAGTAGTCGAGAATTAGAATACCACACGCAAAGCTTGGGGGCGTTGCAGTAGCGTTCGTCGCTCAACAGGAGCCTTCAAAAGGTAAGCGTAGGACGTCAGTATTGGGCTGATGGCTATTTAACAGAATCCTCCGCAGTTTCCTTCTGAAGAAATAAACTTGGCAAGATTCCTTTTGGCGTTGCATAAATGGTTGCCAGACTGGAAAGGTGGTTGTTGCCAGACTGCCGCTAAATTTGGCAGAAAAGTTTTCTCCTGTAGTTGTGGCTTCTCCGTAAGAATTTAGTGCTATCCGCGGTGCACTTCTTGGCTGAAATTGTTTCTCCTGTAGTTGTGGCTTCTCCGTAAGAGTTTGGTGCTATTTGCGGTGCATTTCTTGGCTGAAAGTTTTTTTCCTGTAGTTGTGGCTTCTCCGTAAGAATTTGGTGCTATCCGCGGTGCATTTCTTGGCTGAAAATTTTTCTCCTGTAGTTGTGGCTTCCCCGTAAGAGTTTTGTGCTATCCGCGGTGAATTACGCGAGTGCATGAGCGACGCTGGCCGTTTTAATTAACGGAATGGACCGAGCCTAGCAGAAGCCGAGCGCGGTGCTGCCGTGCAATTAAAAGGCCGTTTTAATTCCGTTTTAATTAACGAAATCAACCGCGCATTACAGAATTCGTTTTAATTAACAGAATGTACCGTGCCCAGCAGAGGTCGAGCGCTGCTGCGCAATTAAGAAGCCGTTCTAATTAATGGAAAGAACCGCGCCTAGCAAAAGTCGAGCGCGGTGCTGCCGTGCAATTAAGAGGCCGTTTTAATTAACGGAAGGAACCGCGCCTAGCAAAAGACGAGCGTGGTGCTGCCGTGCAATTAAGAGACTGTTCTAATTAACGGAATGAACGCGCCTAGCACAAGTCTAGGCTAGACCGCGCGTTATGACGGGGGACGCTACGCTTCCCCTAGCTGTGTCGGCACAAGACATATCGTTCGGACTCGTCTATACCTGTGATGAATAAGTGTTCCAAGGCTGGTTAATCGGGGTACGTCGGATATGCTACAGCTATGTACGCCTGGAAGGCTGCTTTATCGGAGCAGATGGAGCGAATTAAGGGTGACTTGCGCATACCTGTAAATAAGACCCGGCCGACGAGCCGCCGTTGCTTACAGGGCCCCACCCACAATAAGCACAAATTGTTTCTGAGCTCAAGAGCGCAGTATGAAACAATAGGGTGGGTACATAAGAATAAAATGGCATAATATGTCTCACTACACGCTCATCACTCACGATATGGCAGGGTCCCTAAACGGGATATCGGCGAGCGATCACCTCCATTAATCGAAGGAAAGGGTCTTTCACGTTGAGACGTGCAACAACCAAGTACGTCTCGAGAGGCAAAAAAAAAAGGAGCCTTGCCCCTGTCTACCCAGCATTGTGAGTGTCCCGCGGAGCTGGGACAGCTAGCTGTTTCCTGCAACCATTGTACCTGAAGTGTGGGTCTGCTCGTTTTTTTTGCCGGGGCGATTGTACGTGACGACTTACTGCATCCTGGGTCACCATAATTAAGCCGAGGTCCTTGCGAATTCCCCATCACTCGGATGTCGGCGGCCGCTTCTGTGCTGTTCCCGACTGTCTGCAGGTCGAACTGCCGCTCGAAGCGATGGCGTCTTCGACAGTCCAATAACACGACGGCTCCTGAAATGGTGACAATGTACTTTGCACAACTAACGTTACGGCATTTCATAAGGATCACGATCCGAAAGCTTAGGGATTGCGACCGGGATAGGGAGCACCAAATAAGGAAATTTAAGAGGTTTACGTGAGCAAGTTTGGCCATGTGTCGACGCCCAATGCACCGAGATCGAGTACGTGCCCTGGGTGGTGTACTGTTTACGTGATACGTGGGTCACATCACGTAGCATCACATAACGTCGTTCGCACTCCCGCTCAAGTCACCGTTGCTGTGGAGAAGGAGGGGCACGAAGTGGAGTACGTGACCTAGGTGTTCAACGATTCGAGGCGTCTTCGCCTATCCTGTATTTTCACACATATGCTCGTGTTGCGTCGGCGCCGTGACCCACCCCCTCTTTCTCTGCAGACACTCGTGTCGCCGCGCGGGTCGGCACCATGTCAACCAACGTTAGAGGTACAAAAAGGCTTTTTATGTTTTTTTTATTCCAGGCGTCTTTGCCCACCCCCTCTTTCTCCGCACACTCGCGTCGCGTTGGCGCCATGTCAACCAACGTTAGAGGTCCAAAAAGGTTTTTTTTATGTTTTTTTTATTCCAGGCGTCTTTGCCCATCCCGTCTTTCTCCGCAGGTGCTCGCGTGGCGTGGCGTTAGGGTCGTGGCCCATCCACTCTTTCTCCGCAGATGCTCGCGCCACGTCGGCGTCATGACCCACCCCCTCTTTCCCCGCTGATGCTGCATCACGTAGGCGCCCTGTCAACGTTAGAGCGCTCTATCCCCCTTTCACCGCATGACCCTTATAAAATGCCGTAACGTTAGCCATGCAAGCTACACTGTTACTAGTTCAGGAAGCGTCTCGTCATGGCCACGCCACGGATTGACCCCAGCATTGTCGAAATCGCGGACATCATAAGGTACCCTGCCGCGGAAGAGGCCTTCTTTCGTGAAATCGGACTGTCGCCTGCGCCATCGCTTCCACCGGCAGCACATTCTTCCCGGGTTGACGGTGTACAGCGACGAGTGGGCCGCGTACCAGTGCATACCCAGACTTGTGGATGCCAACGGAACACCGCTAAACTTGGACTGGCACACCGTGAACCACAGTGTCAACTTCGTTTATCCTACGACAGGCGCCAACACGCAAAGGATTGAAAGTGAATGGCACAAGAACAAGCGCCGTCTCGTTCGCAACAGCAACAAGACGACTACCTCACTTATGCCGTCTCACCTCGCCTGGCTTTGGTGGAGATCGATTAACGCACCTCCCAACGTGAAAGACCCTTTTCTTCTATTAATGGAGGTAATTGCTCGCCGGTATCCAGTTTAATTGTGATTAGCGCGTAGTGAGACATATTGTCATTTTATTCTTATGTTTATGTTGTCATTATGTTGTATTATTATTATTGTCATTATTATGTTTATTATGTCGTTTTATTCTTATTGTTGTATAGTACTAAGCTCTTGAGCTGAGAAACAATACACAATCATTATTTGGAATTTTGGTAGTTTGTGCCTATTGTGGGTGGGGCCCTGTAAGCGACGGCGGCTCGTCGGCCGGGTCTTATTTACAGGTATGCGCAAGTCACCCTTAATTCGCTCCATCTGCTTCGATAAAGCAGCCTTCCAGGCGTACATAGCTGTAGCATATCCGACGTACCCCGATTAACCAGCCTTGGAACACTTATTCATCACAGGTATAGACGAGTCCGAACGATATGTCTTGTGCCGACACAGCTAGGGGAAGCGTAGCGTCCCCCGTCGTAGCGCGCGGTCGACGCGACACGATCAGCTGAGCGGAAAAAAAGAAAAGTAAGGGGGGGGGGCAGCGCATCACCTCCTGCGACTCTATTCAGTTTTCCCCATCATCCCTAATACTGAGACGCGATATCTTAATTGCACAGCTCTGCACACAGCAAGAGAACGGGCCTCGACTTCTGTAATTGACGGTTCATTATGTTAATTAAAACGGCCTCTTAATTGCGCAGCAGCGCCGCGATCGACTTCTGCTAGGCTCGGTTCATTCCGTTAATTAAAATGGCCTCGTAATTGCACGGCAGCACCACGCTCGACTTCTGCTAGGCTCGGTTCACTCCGTTAATTAAAACGGCCTCGTAATTGCATGGCAGCACCACGCTCGACTTCTGCTAGGCTCGGTTCATTCCGTTAATTAAAACGGCCTCATAATTGCACGGCAGCACCGCGCTCGACTTCTGCTAGGCTCGGTTCATTCCGTTAATTAAAACGGCCTCGTAATTGCACGGCAGCACCACGCTCGACTTCTGCTAGGCGCGGTTCCTTCCATTAATTAAAACGGCCTCTTAATTGCGCAGCAGCGCTCGACTTCTGCTAGGCGTGGTACATTCAGTTAATTAAAACGAATGCTGTAATGCGCGGTTCATTCCGTTAGTTAAAGCAGAATTAAAACGGCCTCTTAATTGCACGGCAGCACCGCGCTCGACTTCTGCTAGGCTCAGTCCATTCCGTTAATTAAAACAGCCAGCGTCGCTCATGCACTCGCGAAATTCACCGCGGATAGCACCAAACTTTTACGGAGAAGCCACAACTGCAGGAGAAAGATTTTCAGCCAAGAAATGCACCGCGGATAGCACCAAACTCTTATGGAGAAGCCACAACTAGAGGAGAAAAAATTTTCAGCCAAGAAGTGCACCGCGGATAGCACCAAACTCTTGCGGAGAAGCCACAACTACAGGAGAAAACTTTTCCGCCAAATTTAGCGGCAGTTTGGCAATAACCACTTCGAAGTCTGGCAACAAACTTATGCAATGCCAAAAGGAACCTTGCCATAAACTTAACCATCAATCCCAGTTTTAGGCACACGGCAGACTTAACGCGTCTTGGTGGCTTTCAGCTGCCGTTACCAGTAGCGAACACAAAACTCGTAGGCTTCGAAGGGCCTACCGGCGGCCCTGTTGCCGTTATTTAGTGCATGATCCATCACTTGCAACTTGAAGCAGCCGTGTAGCTTCAGTATCGCCCCATAACGTGCCAAGATTACCGACACAACAAACAAAATACGCACAACGCGCACTGGCCACTTCGGCTTAGCTTGGATTGGATTAAATCTCCGTGCAATAGTGTGCTTAATGCTTAAAATATGGTGCCAGATGGCGCGCTATTATCATCAGTGGCTGGAACGAGCAGACGACATTATTGTGGCAGTTTTCGGGGGTGCGATAATTACTCGAGGAAAAAAAAATCGTATTTTTCTTGGCCGATGTGGATGGGTGCGAGAAAATACGGTATGCCCTTTCTTGCTTTCCTCATTCATATGCTGCTGAAGGAATGGATGGTTTCCAACACACTTTCCTGTCGATCCCGACAGTGCTACTTCGGCGTTTTTTCTTTTCAACCCACAGCCGGAGTATAGTGTAGCGTTCACTTGACCAGTCCGACCTCCTCTTCTTGCAGGGAAGCTACGTAGATAGGTAATCTCTGACAGATCATGTCTGTGCACAGAACAACGCTTAAAACAACAGTTTTCGACGCCCCTTGCCCACGCCTGTTGCACAAGTGTCGCGACTGTCGGCGATGGAACTTCCCACCAAGCATTGTGCCCCTTTGTCTCGTCACTTGGAGATCGCGCTGTACCCTGTTAATAAGGGCAATGGCCTTTTAGACTCTCTTTGGAGTGGACATGTGTCGCTCGATCGTAGGAAGTATAGCAGGAATCGAAAAAGCACCGACTTGCGCAGAACCGTAAATAAGTGCGGAAATGTCGTGAAGTAATCACCACAGAAGGTACTGTATGAGAGAAACTCGATGAGTGATTTCAATAAAAATAACATGATAATTTTCAATAAAAGAAATAATAATGCAAATCACTGGTGATCAACAGGTCCATTATTGAGAGTGTGTTGGTTATTAGAAAACAACACATACGAAATTGTATGTGACCTGTGCCCCTTCGAGGGCCTGTGTTTGTGTACACCCACATTTCGAAGCGCTCGCTAATGCCAAGTTTCTCGTCAATGATGTCTCTACCATGAAATCTGTAACTCCTTGAAACTGAGCTGGCATGCCTGTCAGTGTCACAAACGAGGGCAAGTCCGAAATTATGTGCATTTTCATTCTGCAGTTTAGTAACAGTGAAGTTAGGGTTATTGTATGCACATAATTTTTCTACTTGGCGTTGGCTCAAAGGTCAACGAGCTTACATGTTATTTCCTAATGAAAGGTTTCGCAAGTTGGTCGTGAAGCCACATTTTGCACCGAACTTCACGCGTCTAAATCTAAAGCTAATCGCCGGCCACGCTAAGCCTTTAGTGGTCAAAACAACTGAATGTCGCATGGAGGTAGTTTTGGGCTGTGGGGAGGGTGTCCATTAACTCAAACATTATATTGTTGATGGTTGCAATAGTGTGGCGAGCCGCATGTGGCCATGCGTTGTCATGCAACGCATGTGGCCATGCGTTGTCATGCAACGACAAAACTTTCTTCGGCAACAAACCTTGGTGTTTGTGGTAAATTGCTTGTTGTGTTTGTTGCGAATTTCGATCCCCGAAGACCCAGTTTTACGTGATAGTGTGCTTCTCTCACATTGCGAGGATAGTCTGGGATGAATGTCTGAACCTTCGACACCCTTCCGACCAGATAGAATGAAGAAATTTCGCTTTGTTCTTCTTCAGTGCTAAATTCCAATGGAGCAGCCAGGATGTACCGGCAACAGAAGAAGAAAAACGGAGCAATTAAGATCAAACTTTCACAGTGTTACTGGGACAGTGTATGAATAAGATACGCGAGGACAGGAAGATAAGCTGTGCAATATCAGAAAAGTTGATAACTTATGACTTGCCCGTCACATTTTTTTTTTCTTTCTACAACGCAGGAGATATTCAACGCCTTCGTCGCCCTCGACGACCACCTGCAGTCCTACATGTTCGAGGTGTCGCGAAACGCCACAAAGCTGCACAACTGTATGGCCAAGCTTTTGGCGCACCCGCTGCAGAGGCCGCAACAGCACATAGCTCACTACAAGCTCAAAGCGGACGAGAGTCCGAGCTGAGGCTCGGGACGCTTCACGCCTCAGCCATGACCTCTAAACTGCAGCAAAGCGCAAAGCCTGTACAGAGTCGGTACATGGTGCACAGTGGACGAAGGCTTAGCGAAAAGCCTGCTAGGAAATGCCTGCCACTGATGTCGTCCTGATTGTGGCTTTGCGCTGTCGGGCACTTTCGCCAATGGAGTGTCACCCACTGAAGGAAGCCGTGAAAAGCATGCTGTCCAGTTTTAAACTATACGGAAGGTTCTTTCTTTTATTTTGAAGCTGTTTTTTTTGTTGCTTCGTGTAGTAGTGATTTTGCGCTTGACTACTTACTACATAGAATGCTTTTTATGTGAATATGTAATCTACTACTTTTGGTACCACGCTTAATAGAGTTTCCTAGAGGGGACTCTGGCGCTGCAATCTTTCGGCGACCGTGGGAATGATGGGTAGTACACAGATTTGCCTAATCTTTGTACTTGCCGGCGGCGAATCACGCTTGTTGCTTCATTTATTGCTGCGTTTCCGGTTTTCTTTCGAAGAAAAGAATGAACCCTTTTGAACTTCATGACCCGATTTGAAATCACAAGCTTGAAAGAATAAGGTGGTGAAGCGCAACTGCTGAACGTTTGCTGATTTTTGTTTTGTAAGAAAACAGCTCCAAGCCACTCACACACGGAGCCAGAAATAAGAAAATTAGAGAAATCCGGGTACTACCCATCATTACCATGCTCGCTGAAGCACCGTGCGTTACAGCTCCCATAGACACTAGCGCCAGAGTTCCCTCTAGTGTATATTTAGGAAACTCTATGCCACACTTGGCACCTGACAGTGGTTTCACTCTCGTATACTTTTGCAGACAGAGTGGTGCTGGTTACAGAAATAATTGAAGGTGTACGTTTCGTTCAGGGTACTGGATCGGATCTTTTTTTTTTTTCCTTTTCCTGTGTCAACATTGTTTTGTTGTCGCATTTTAAGGTATGCTTTATTGCACTGATGCCTAGATTTACTACTTACTAGAACGCTTTTGCAGCATCGACCTGTAAATTGTGCTCTACTTGGCACATTGGTTGAGAGCTACTTGAGGAAAGAAGAATGAATGTGCCCATAAACTGCACTAACAAGCTTGTGGGGACTTCGATTTTATACTAGTTTACTTTTCCATTTGATACAACAGGAGAGGCAGTGCATGGACTTCGAAAAGTTATCACACACCTGACTCATTAGTTTGTGTATAAGTGAATATTCTTAGTACACAGTTTTGCGCCAAAGTAATAGTGTAAACTCTTTTTTTTTCTGTTTTTCCTATGCTTTTGCAGAGGCATCTTGTTTTTTTGAAGTTATTTTCTTGGCTTTCCTCTATTTGCTAGCAAGCTCCTTTCTGCTGTCCCGCCGAAAGCTATCACAGGCTCTCGTGTGCACGACGGCTTAGAGCTTATTGTTCAACCTGTTAGCTTTATGCACGTTCAAACGCATCCGCAAGTCATTTGTGCACAGTAAAGCAGTTGATCGTGCGAACGAAATAGGCAATTTTGTTGCACATTTTAAATCAATTGTTTTTAATGTCTATATTGATTAGCCACCTTCCTTTATTCATGGCAATGCTGACGTGAAATCATGGGCTAATGGCGACCTCGTCTCTTGTGTTATAAGATTTCGGCGCCAATCGTGTAAAAGATGCCAGCAGGATAGAAAGCAAAAATGCTGGAAGAAGCGCGCAATGTTAATCCCTTATTACAAGGAAAAACGGGCACCACCTATGTAACAATAGATTGAGGTGCAATCGCTGCACATGCCCACAACTCGCATTGCATGTATTTGCAGGAAAAAAATGTTGGTAGTGACGCATATGATCAAGTTCTTTACCTGACTTTGCGAAGGCACCTTTATATGGATGTCCTGCTTTGTAAGCTTTGGTTGCCAACTTTGAGTGCAATCGCCGAGCGATTCTATCACTTTATTTTATGCTTTTTGCCGCCATTAGGCGTCTGCGATTGGTCGAAGTGAGGCGTCGACCAACGTTCAAGACCAACATTTTTCTGATGCTGTTGCTTTCTGGGCTCTTGCTTTCTTTCTTTTTTTGCAAATTTTTTTAAAATACTAGGACTTGGCGTCGCATCTTACGACTGCAGTCTTTAGCCACAACTGATAGCTCAACGCTTTTCCATTGCTGTAATGATACCGTAGTGCTTACAAATTCTGGCTATTGCCGCTGCTCTTTCTCGGGCACTTCCTACACTCTAAAAAAAGAGCGAGTAAAATAGGTGTCTTTTTGTCCCACAACAATAATCGTCATCTATATTGCGTTCCATCCTTGCGCTATCGCCCCGCGCCCGGTACATTCCGGTCACGATCGACATGCCCATTATCAGGGTTACATTGCATTCTCGATAGGAAAATGGCCAGCGCCGAGTTTTCAAGAAAGGAAGCGCACGCAAGCCTGATGACTGTTATTGTTGTGGGACAAAAAGACACCCTTTTCACTCGATATTTTTTTAGAGTGTAGAGTTCCAGGATTTATCGCTTGCACAAGCCATCGTCTTCTTTGTTAACTCCGAGACAGCCAACTTAAGCCACAAGGACAGTCTTCCAACTGTGGGATTGTTTCTGCATTCTGGTTGCGGCATGTTCATCAACTGTGGGCCATTAGTGTATTCTGTTTTTTGTTCAGCTTGTTCTGATGACGCGCGCTTTCTTTGATTCAAGAGTTCAGTGCCAGTTCTCGAAACATGTTTGTTTAACCCCGTGTATGGAAACCCTTGTCTGCTCTTTGGCCATGTCGTTGCTCATTGAGGTGCCCAGCATTTGGCAGTTCATGCACGATTACCGGTACCTTTACCTCAAAGGTTGTGATCTCACATCAGGAGATCATTGCTGGCTGTGCCAGCTGAAAACACTCACCAAAGGTTAGTGTTTTTTTTTTCTAGCTACTGCTGTTTATATGGAATACATGAAATATAGGCTGAGGATCTTGTGAAGCATAATCGGCAGGGTCCCTAGTGTTAACCCTGGTTGGTGTTAAAAAGAAATGATGAAACAACAAATGTGTACATAATCAGCATGTTGGTATTTGTCAGAATTTTCTAATAAAGTGCATGATATGTTTGCCCATTACGTCACGGTTTCCCGCCTGAATCGCTTTTCGCCAACGTCCATTCATGGCAACTGCAGGCGCGAGCATGTTTCGTCGGAATGCAAGTGTTGACGTACTCCGTAAGTATGCGTAAGCTTTATACGGCCGTCGGTCACGTTGCGCATATGGGATCTCGATCGGCTTGTTCACGCTAAATCCCGAAATTGAGTTAGTATTGGTTGAGAAATGCGATTCGGAGCTCACTTGATTGCGATTGAGAAGGGCCGTGCGACACCGCGGTATTTATATACAAGCGCGCCCGGGACGTAAAACAACGGCGTGAAATGTTTTGACTGGAGATTGGGTTAGAGATGCGATGGCGCCTTTCAAAGCGCGATTCTTCGCTCCACGCCCAAGGATGTGGCCGTTTGTGCGAAAAATCGATACTGCAACAATGAGAAGCGCGCCGTTCGCCTGTCGTATTCGACTGAAGCGAGACCGCAGTTTCTTTCAGTCCAGCGCATTTTCATTCGCCAGGAAGAATCTGCTTTGCATAGGTACCGAACTAAAAAAAAAAGGCATAAGTATGCAGACACACCGGCCCACGATTTGCCGTGCGTCGTGCCGGTATGAAGCCTTGTTATGCCTGTGTAATTGCCGGTCGAACGTGTTGTAAAAAATGTGTAGAACAACGACGTCAGTTCGTCGGAATGCGTTCCTGCGTAATTTGGCCGTTGGTTGGGGAGGGCCCCAACCAGCGAGAGCGGCTCGAAGACGCGCAGCGAACCAAATAAATAAATTTGCGCCGGGCCCGGCTCCGAAAAATTGGGGTGGCCGCCGCCTTTCGGCGCGTCTGCTACGGGCCTACTGCATCCTTGCATCCCACCCGGCAGGATTGCGCCTCGCCTAAAAACAACCATGACGGCCCGCAGAATTTGGACCGTCCGCGAGATGGAACATGAGTTCCGACACTTCGACGTTGTGTTTACAAACGTCCAGGTTCCGAAACCCCGCGAAGAAGCGGCGTGGCTTTCTTGTATAATTTTTTTCGCTCGTACCGGCCGCCCGGCGCAAAAATTTTGCGCGTCCGCGAGCGATGCTTGGCGCGTCGTTCCGTCCCAGCATGCAGTGCGCACCGCGCACTGCGCATGCGCTGTTGCGCGCTACGCCCGTATTTCGCTTCGGAGTCAACTCCCTTGTGTCCGCTGACGGCCGGCTCCCGGCAAGGCGCTTCGCTCACGGTTGATATTTTTTTGTTTATTCCCTCAGCTCGTTGGACGCTGAAGGCACGCCGAAAAAGAGCACATCTCCTGCAGCACAGGTGGAATCGCACTGTTATTTTTCCAACATGTCCGGAACGCCGAAGCACAAGGAGATAGTGCTCGACACGATCGACCAACTGCGAAAGCGCAAAGCGCGGCCGGACTTCGAGCGCATTTGTCACATGCTCTACCGGCGGCACGGCCTGAGCAAAGCGGAGGTTCAAGAGGAGCTCGACCTGCTCGTCGACGCCGAGGCGGTCATCAAAGTAGACTACAAGGGCAACACGAGCTACCGCAACGCCGCGAAATGGGTTCGTTTCAACAAGTCCCTCTCCTCGGACACCGGCGCGGCCGCGGCCGCAGCCGCGACTGCGGTCGCCGTAGGTTGCGGCGGCCCGCAGGCGACCACGTTTAAGGTGAGCCGCGCGATCGGTGACGCCGTTCGGGACCTGTGGTTCGCGGGCAGGAAGCACGGCACGGCGGTGGACGCCGGCGTGTCGGCCGCCGAACTGGACGCCTACTTGCAATCGAGAGACTTCAAGTGCACCAAAGGAGCGCTCGAACTGGGCATCGACAAGGAACTGGCGTCCGGTCGGCTCGTGCGCCTGCCCAGCGGCAGATTCGCGCCGAGCGAAGCGGAGAAGCAGCGGGCCGCCAAACTCGCGGCGTCGCCCCCCAAAGCCCCGCCGCGCGTCGTCAAGCCGTTGTTGCAGCAGTCGTGCGAAGGCGTCCCGTCGATCGGCGGTGCGGCAACGTGCTCGGCTCCCGCGAACAGCGCGAGCAACGGAACGAACGGCGTTCGTCGTCGTGCGTGCACCAACTTCGCCGATGGACAGGCCGTCGACCGCATCAACGGCACTGCTCTCCTCCCCACCGAACGCCAAGCGAGCCAGGCCCCTCAGCAAGCGCAAGGTAACGTCAAAAATACGTTTTCTCACATTTGTTTTCACCACCCTCATTTATTCTAATGCGTGTTTGTTTTTCTCCGGTAGCCTTTACTAACAGCCATGACGCATACGATGTGTTATCAAACGTTCTTTCATTTTTTTTTTTTCCTACGCCTGAAGCCATGTGCTGGGTGTGGGATAACGGCGGAGTTCCTGTTGAGGTGTCTCACCTGGTACCCGCCGCCGCTCAGCTGTTTTTCTTTCTTTTTTTTTTTGCGTTTGAGATGGTGGAGTTTACTGGCCTTCGTGGAAAAAAGTTTTTGTGATCGACACCGCCCCACAAACAAAATGGACAAGTTGCGGTGGACCAACATGGACCCATGGCATGCGCGAAAGCGATCGACTAGCCGTATTGGCTTTTATTTTATTTTTTTCGTTGGCGCTCTTATCTCGCGCGCCTATGCTCTTCTCTGTCGCTGCGGGCGCCGCAGTGCGTTTTATTTTTGGTGGTGGTGATATGAAGGCACCACTCCGGTCGTTCTGCCCCGAATGCGCGCCCGACTTGCAAACCCCGGTCATCGGCGTACCATGATATGTAATTGCTAGCCCATCTTTCTGCACCAGCGCGTGCACCACCTGCAGGTGTTCTTTATATCGCTTGGTTGTCGGACGCTACGTATGTCGCCCATGTTTGCCCCGCGTTGCAAGGTCTGGCTTTATTGCGCAATGTACGCAACGAGGACGTCCTGTTTGTTGTTGTCCCCCGTTTCTGTTCGGACGCGTGACAAGCGTGCCATTAACGTCACCGCTAATCATGCGCACTCGTAATATTGAGTGTTTATTCTCTGCTGCGCTTTCGTGAATGGCGCGTATGATGCTAAATCTCCTCCGGCGACTCCAACCAAGAGGGATCGATGAGTCATACATACATTCATAATCGCTATCTGTATCTTACAGTGACAACAGTAATCAAGAGTTTGCGACTTTTAGCGTTCTCTTGTCGCGTACTGCCTGATTTGTCGGCAAAGGTCGCTTGTTTAAATTACTTGAAATTGTCCGAGTATGAAAGCGAACTTTCATTTGTTTAGTTTGCTCGTTGTGATCGTGCGTCTTAATCCTGTACTGAAATTTGGCCGCTGCTCTACGCCTTTGTAAGCATGAAAAGCTTCAGCGAAGTGCGGCTCAATTCACGGTGATATATTAAGCGCGCTCCAATTTTTTGTTTTTTTATAACTACATTTATTTTTTGCTGCTTCCTCGCACTGCAACGCGAGAAAACACAATTCCACGCACATTTGTTTGTTTGTTTTTTTTTTCTAAAAAAAATCCCGCCATACGACCAAGCGGCGCGTTGCTGTGAAGACACCTCCCAGGGCAGGGAGGAAATCGTGTACCCCACGCGGGGTTTTTCGTAAATGGCAGCTTCCGCGCTGTTCGCAGGCATTGAGGGACAAGTGGTAACAATAAAAAAAAAAAAAAAAACGCGATGCGACTCTCATCTCGGAGCCACACAAACAGCATTCCCAATGAGTCCTGGCGCGCAGCCATCGGTGTACCAACAAGAGATATAGGTGCGTCACAAGAGCCACGTTGGCCATGTTTTTTCGGTGGCGCGCTGCTCCGCGCTCGATGTCACGCGCTGGAAGCTCGCCCTCCCTCCAAATTTGCGTGGAGCGCTGCATTGTCTCGCTGAGTTCTTTTGCGTCCTTCCGTTCGCTCTTTTCCGTCGCACCGCGGGCTCCTGGGACAGTCGCCCCCCGGATTTATCGGCGATAGTGCGTTCTCAGTGTCACCCTCCTCCCTTTTGCTGATAGCCCGAAGGGTTCCTCTGTCGCGAGAATCGTTGTGTGCGCGTCGGCCTCGCTAATGCATGCCGCTCGTGTGGGCGGCGATAAAGTCGCTTTTCTCAACCTGCATCTCTTGAGGTTTCTCTTATTGTCTGCGTGCAAGTTTAGCACCAACTTGCGAAAATACGGTACGGTACCGCACTGCTCCCCCTTTCTCAGTGTTTGGGTGCTTGTACCCCAACACCACGAATTTTATTCATTTTTTTTTTTCCTACGCCTGAAGCCATGTGCTGGGTGCGGGATAACGGCGGAGTTCCTGTTGAGGTGTCTCACCTGGTACCCGCCGCCGCTCAGCTGTTTTTTTTTTTTTTTTTTTTTGCGTTTGAGATGGTGGAGTTTACTGGCCTTCGTGGGAAAAGTTTTTGTGATCGACACCGCCCCACAAACAAAAAGGACAAGTTGCGGCGGACCAACATGGACCCATAACATGCGCGAAAGCGATCGACCAGCCGTATTGGCTTTTATTTTATTTTTTTCGTTGGCGCTCTTATCTCGCGCGCCTGTGCTCTTCTCTGTCGCTGCGAGCGCCGCAGTGCGTTTTATTTTTGGTGGTGGTGAGATGGAGGCACCACTCCGGTCGTTCTGCCCCGAATGCGCGCCCGACTTGCGAACCCCGGTCTTCGGCGTACCATGATGTAATTGCTAGCCCATCTTTCCGCACCAGCGCGTGCACCACCTGCAGGTGTTCTCCATACCGCTTGCTGGTCGGACGCTACGTATGTCGCCCATGTTTGCCCCGCGTTGCAAGGTCTGGCTTTATTGCGCAATGTACGCAACGAGGACGTCCTGTTTGTTGTTGTCCCCCATTTCTGTTCGGACGCGTGACAAGCGTCCCATTAGCGTCACCGCTAATCGGGTGCACTCGTAATATTGAGTGTTTATTCTCTGCTGCGCTATCGTGAATGGCGCGTATGATGCTAAATCTCCTCCGGCGACTCCAACCAAGAGGGATCGATGAGTCATACATCCATAATCGCTATCTGTATCTCACAGTGACAACAGTAATCAAGAGTTTGTGACATTGAGCGCCTCTTGTCGCGTACTGCCTGTTTTGTCAGCGAAGGTCGCGTGTTTAAATTACTTGAAATTGTCCGAGTATGAAAGCGAACTTTCATTTGTTTAGCTTGCCCGTTGTGATCGTGCATCTTAACCCTGTACTGAAATTTGGCCGCTGCTCTACGCCTTGGTAAGCATCAAAAGCTTCAGCGAAGTGCGGCTCCAATTCACGGTGATATATTAAGCGCGCTCCAATTTTTTTGTGTTTTTATAACTACATTTATTTTTTTGCTGCTTCCTCGCACTGCAACGCGAGAGAACACGATTCCACGCACATTTTTTTTTTTTTTTTTCTAAGAAATCCCGCCATTCGACCAAGCGGCGCCTTGCTGTGAAGACACCCCCCAGGGCAGGGAGGAAATCGTGTACCCCACGCGGGGTTTTTCGTAAGTGGCAGCTTCCGCGCTGTTCGCAGGCATTGAGGGACAAGTGGTAAGAATAAAAAAAAAAAAAAGAAAGCGATGCGATTCTCATCTCGGAGCCACACAAACAGCATTCCCAATGAGTCCTGGCGCGCAGCCATCGGTGTACCAACAAGAGATATACGTGCGTCACAAGAGCCACGTTGGCCATGTTTTTTCGGTGGCGCGCTGCTCCGCGCTCGATGTCACGCGCTGGAAGCTCGCCCTCTAAATTTGCGTGGAGCGCTGCATTGTCTCGCTGAGTTCTTTTGCGTCCTTCCGTTCGCTCTTTTCCATCGCACCGCGGGCTCCTGGGACAGTCGCCCCCCCCGGATTTATCGGCGATAGTGCGTTCTCAGTGTCGCCCTCCTCCCTTTTGCTGATAGCCCGAAGGGTTCCTCTGTCGCGAGAATCGTTGTGTGCGCGTCGGCCTCGCTAATGCATGCCGCTCGCGTGGGCGGCGATAAAGTCGCTTTTCTCAACCTGCATCTCCCGAGGTTTCTCTTATTGTCTGCGTGCAAGTTTAGTACGAAGTTAGGAAAATACGGTACACTACCGCGCTGCTCCCCCTTTCTCAGTGTTTGGGCGCTTGCGCTCCAACACAATAATTTTTTCTTTTATTTATTTTTTTTTTCAAAAATTATCGCGGCGAGATTGTTCGACGGAGGGTTTCGCGCGTATCAGCCTACGTGTTATTGTTGACAAGGAAGATGTTGTTAGGGGGCAAGCACTGTCACAGAATCTGGGAGCGGCTTCGGTACAATGACACAGAAAGGAGCGGCACGGTTATGCAATACTGTATCTCCGTAAGCAGCTGCTGCAATACTCTACAGACTATCGTCGATTCTTTATACGTGCCGGCGTGCTTTAGTGACCAGACGAAAAGACTAGCAGACGACATTTTTTTTTTTTTTTTCTCGCGGCGGCCATATTGCCCCCGGTTCCGATCGCTCTTTTATATTTTTTTCCTTCGTACCGCGGGTCTCTCGTTACGACTCCTCCGCTTGCTCTGCGTGTCCGGGCGCGCGCCGGCGCGCGAGTTGCGCTCTCTCACGCGCGCGCGCGCGCACCGTCGAGAGACGAGCGCCTGTGACGTCACCGGACTGGCGTGACGTCATGGGAGCAGCGGAGCCTGCTACCTGGGACCGCGCTGCGCGGGCGGCGGCCGATGGGGGAACGGTGGTTTTGTTCGTTTTTTTGCGTGATTTGTTCCGGTGTTTTCGTTTAATCCTCGTACGACGGGGAAGCTCGGGAGATGCCGCGCGCGTCTGTCCCGACCGTGCATCAATAATATTGCTCCTGTGCCCCGGGAACCGGCCTGTGGCCTCAAGCGGCGTGTAGCAACGCCTTTCTACTCGGGTTAGCTAAGCACGAGGCGCGCCGCTAGATGGAAGTCGTGGGTTGCTTAAAATGCCGGCGCGTTGCCGCCATTTGCTCCGCGCTTCACCGCCCCCCCGGACGGAGGAACCGCTTGCCGAGGTTTCAAACGCTTCTCGGTCTGGGACGTCGCAGCGCTAGCGCCGGCTGGTCGGAGCTTGGCGCGACTGCCGCCGCCATCGCGGGCGTTTTGTTTATACATTTTAACGAATCGCATGCGCTTCATCTCGCGGCATGAATGTTCTCCTTGCGTAGGATGGAGGTGCGGCATTAATTTGCGAGCATTAAGTTCACGTTCGTTTGTTTCAGTGCGGTGACGGAAAGAGCCCTAAAAACGGTTTGCGTCTGCATCTAGCTTTACTTTTAAGGCTGAACGGCTTTTCGAAAAATTTCAAATTTAAAGCGCCGTTATATTGCCAGTTCAATTTAGATTCTGCAATTGAATACACAAAAGCATATGTTCACACTATAAAATTAACTAGGCATTAGAAAAAAAATCGTTGAATGCTCTGTATATGCGAAACTCTAGCAATCTCAATATAAGATGTTTGTTGAATGCGCTGTACTTATCTCTAGTAATCTAAATTTATGATGTTTGGAAAATAACTCTCAAGAGGACACACTCAATCACCCCCTCCCCTCCCAGCGTGAGGACAACGGCGGGTGGGGGGTCAGCCCTTCTCCCGTGACTAACGCCAACGAATGCCGGTCATTTCGCATCCCTCATCAGCGTTACACCATTACAGGACTTGCTTGTTGGCTGTATTAGCGAAGTTCGTCAGATATAGTGCACTTTCAGGGTGCTCGCTTAAGTTCTGCGGCTCATGTGTTTAGGCTGCTATTTATTACAGTAGACACACATTTTGCCGTCGCCTCGCCCGACTTCTAGGGTCTGGAGGCCACTTTTGAGTCTCCCCTCGTGAAATATGTCGACTGAAGAGAAGGACGCTGCATTGTTTTTCTGTGCGGGAGCTTATATGTAATGGGACCGAGATCGAATTAATGCAGTGTTTGTGTTATAACAGCGGCTAGCCTCCATTGGCCGACTTCAGTCAACGCTTACTATCACTTAGCAATCAACACCAGCATCCTATTTGAAAGTCCTTTTTTTTTCATTATTCTCTAATTTGCCTCGTAAAAGCTTCGGCTAGTTGGTACTTACTGTCTCGTGTGTCGACACTTGATACTCGGTTTGTGTCGCGTCCTCCAATTATTTGCCGTTTTTTTTTCGCTGTCATTGTCTTGTTGGTGTGTTGGTTAATACTTCGTAAACAGCTGGCACAATGCACGGCGAGGGATCGGGCCATAAAACGGGCGGTGCCTTGTATAAATAAGTGAATTTTTGACTATTATCAATATGTTTAGAAATAGATAGCTTTTGAAATAAATCATTAGCTTAATTAAGCAAAAGAAAATATAGCAAACCGGTATCGTTGAAAAATAAGCTGAATTCAGTTAAGCATGGGCTTTTATGACCGTCACCATTATTGAAGTCTTTCGGCCTTTGTGAACTGGACGAAAATATTTCGACGCGTTCCAAGCAAAGATGTGCCGTTAAGACGGGTTGATTTCCTGTCAGCAAAACGTGAACAAGGGGTCCAGGACTGGTTCGCACAAAGAAAACTCACCAGCCAAGAAAGGCCATTGTGAGTTCGACTCTAGGCAAGGCTTTCGAGGCAAACAAGGAGGCAGCTGGGCCATCTTCGAGGTCACCGTGGATCTGGAGAGACCGGAACCAGCGTGGTATTTGCAGTGGGCTGAAAGCTAAAACCCAAACCGGTTGTCGCTGCACCTTGCGAGGAGAAGCGAATCCCCGGAAATTTGCAGCTACACCGCACCTTTTAGCAAACGACGAGGGATGGAATGTTTGGCTGAAGGAAATGAAAAAGGCACTATCTGCGGCAGCTCTGGCGGGAGCCCGCCTCAGCGCCTCAACGACGAGGGTTTAGTCGACCACTCCTCCTTTCCCCTTTCTCCATAGGATCGGCTGAATAGAGTGGCATCTTTTGAGAATAAGCTGGTGGCCCACTACATAGTCCTACCCGAACGCAGCCAGGCAAATTTGGCACGTTTACCGGGAGCCGGTTTTTTGAACCTCACCCAGCTGGCAGAAGAGTTCTGGAAACCAAGGTCATCTAATATCATCAGACGTGCGCGAAATCTTGGAGACGTGTGTTGTTGTTGAGTGATTCTAGAAGGAAGAAGGCACCTAATTTCTGTCAGCCCCTTGGGCGACACGGCGCAATGCCTTGCGGGGAAGAAGAGTAAAAGAGGACAGATAGGGTGGTGGAGAGGTGTATGTAAAATGTCAAGACCATGGCTGGAGCAGCAAGCAAGGCAGCAGCAGGGGCAGGGTCGGCTGGTCTCTTAACTATAGGCAGTTATTCCTGTCTCCTCCAGGAACTCTACCAGGCTCCGGAGCGCTGGTAGGTGTGGACAGGACGGGTAGAGCAGGTGGTCTACCGTGGTGGCAGGTAGGCCCTGTCTGCGATAGGCTGTGGTGCCCCTCGAACGTCCCTGTGCCAGGCCAGGGCAGGCGCAGAGGAGGTGTTCGAGGGTCTCAGGATCCCCACATCGACCGCAAGCGGGAGATGCACAGTGCCCCTTGGCGTGGCGTCGAGCAGAAGACCAAACGCAGAAGTCCTCAGGCGCGGCACGGTCCCGTCTAGTGAAGCCCGTCTCGGGCAACAGCTTGGGGGCTCGTCCATTGGCTACCCTGGGGTATGGATGTACCGTTAGGAGGAGCCGCTTGCTGTGCACCTTGGTGAAGTCCCTGACCGCGACGGCCCGGGTGAAAAAGGTGCCAGGCTGATGTGCAGCCTTGGCAAGCGTGCCCCCCTTTTCGTTGCCGGATGTGCCACGTGGGACGGCAGCCAGTGAAAGGAGACGGACGCCCCAGAAGCACAGACGTGTGCGAAACGTCGGTGCAGTGCGTTTATGACCATATTTCGGCATCGTGTAGACTGTGTCCTCTCCATGTGCATCGTGTAGTGTCTTTCCCCGCCTTCGTGGGTGGAGCACCTACTCCATCGAGTGCCGTATTGGCTTAAGCCGCGAACGATGCGCCCAGGGTTGGCAACGCGGCGCTGTATAAGCGGGAGACTTTTGTATATTTGAAGTTCTACAGTTCAACAGTTCTCCTGTTCAGTTCTTGACCTCTACTTGATCACCTCTTTTCGAATTCTCAGTTACTAACCATGTAAATAAATTGTTGTCATTCTTACGAGCGCCTCATTTGACTTGTTCGACGATGGGTCATAATACGGGGGCCCGCTACCAAACTCAGACCCGCGGGACCCAGAGTCGCAAAAGGGCGAAGCCAAGGGGGTGGTTGGTTGAAGTTCAAGCCCCCCCCCCCCTTTAGAAATGTTTCAATTTCGCTTGCGCACATGCAAATACAGACGTGCAAACGCGCGCACGAACATACATAAAGTATGGTTGTACGTTTCCCGAAAACAATTCCTGGCTACGTACCTGCAGATAACCTTCACATTCGATTCGTTTTATGTCATGTAAGAAATAACTTACGGCATCGTGAACGCTCCTGTGGCTAAATCCCAGTATCGTAGCGCCAAAGGAAAAACACCGGAAATGATAAATTTAATCCTATTCTTCGTAGTAATTCGTCTGGATGTATTTTATTTTTATTGTTAAATAATATGCATGTTAAAACTAAACGATTACGATATTCACTGTCGTTGCCATGTAGGCATTAAGGTGACCGCACCAGACCAGAAGCCCCAGCCGTGGTGGTCTATAGTGGCTAAGGTACTCGGCTGCTGACCCGCAGGTCGCGGGCTCGAATCCCGGCTGCGGCGGTTGCATTTCCGGTGGAGGCGGAAATGCTGTAGGCCCGCGTGCTCAGATTTGGGTGCACGTTAAAGAACCCCAGGTGGTGGAAATTTCCGGAGCTCTCCACGACGGCGTCTCTCATAATCATATCGTAGTTTTGGGACGTTAAACGTCACTAATCAATCGATCGCCGGACCAGAACCTTGCCGGGGAATGGGGGGGGGGGGGGGATTCGGCATTGTATCCTAGTCATTATTTCTGCCCTTCTGGTGGAGTTTACATCGAAAGAGATCGCAACGTGGGTAGTGTGCACCGTAGTCTGCCGCCGCCGTTGTCCGTAACCGCTATCACGCTAAATAATAAAGGAAAACTTACTAAATAGAGAACACCAAGGACCATGGACACTCGAACTTGAATGCGGGTCCCCTGCGTGCCTTCGCAGTATTCTGCCGAGCCACTGCTGAAAACTCCGTTGCAAGCCAGCCTTAGACAGGCTTAATGTCTGGTTAAAGGAGTCTCATATTGTGAATCATAAAGCGTTCTTGAACAGCAAAAGGAACAACGAGGCGTCGCACATTCGAATGGCGTATAACGAGTGCGTCGTCGAACGCTCTAACACATTACAAATTCTTCAGGGATAATTCTTCTTCATCGTCGTCAGCCGAAGCTTAAAAAAGAAACTGCAGAAAGTTTTTTTTTCCCCTAGTGTCTAGCGGGTACCACGATTCTCCGAAGAATGACGAACGATGGCGTAGTGAATGTCTGGCCAATCCCCCCACACAGTATGAGCCGCAAGAGAAGGTGAACACAAACAACAACAAAGTTGTCTGCCTAATAAAAAATATGGCAGTGGCTTCGTATATACCAGCTATGCCATAATATACTTAGCGCTAGCGAAGGTTCAGCTGATTATTCTTAGCTTTCCAGACATCATGCTTACAGCTGTTCCAATGACACACACACGCTATACGTATTATGTGGCACATGTATATTTATTTTGCCGGGCAACTACTTCGGGATCCGATGAGTTAAGCATTTCCGCTCTACTGCACCGTTGAGCAGCATTTGCACTCTCCTTCTCCGTGGCTATACCACAGTGGCAAACGCCAGTCAGAGGCGCTATCAAGCGGCTCCAGCGCAGTATCGGATGGCGACTGCACTGGGAAGGCGCGCGCGTCGGCGTCCATATGTCTACCAAGGCTATGACGGCACTCCTCTGGAAAGCGCACACCGGCGGCGGCGAGTCGCGCGCGGCCGAGTGCGAGGGAGGTGCCGGCTCCGGTAGGTGACACCACTGATCGTCTGCGCAGCGCATCGAATTGCGCGCACACCGGCGGCGGAGTATCATTGCGCATGCGTGGACCAATGCCACGCGAAATTGGTTCAGCGAGGCCAGTGTAGCTAACGGTACAAAAGTTATGATTTGCGGCGTAGTGGGTACCCTTCAAATGGGCTCGCAGCAGCGACCCGAATCGTGTAAAAAAAAGAGCTCTGAAAGGCCGCTCTCCCAGCTTTCGCTGTGACAATGCAGCGCGTTCCGTTCAGCGTTCAGGCCGGGCGTTTTTTTTTTTTCTTTCACGATAATTGCTTAAGATGAGCAAACTGATGTTGACAACATAGGCTTAACGAAGTTATCCGACGTGGCAAACATTTCAAATTGCGCCGCTGAGACATGTCGCCAACGTCGGAAATATAGAAATTATGGGGCCAGCGTGCCACCTTCGATTTTATCGATTACGTTGTAGTAATATACAATTTAAACTACTTGATTGACATCATACAATAACAAGCATGCACTAAGTGGTGGACGCACGCACGAGGGACAGGATATTGCTATCGCGTTAATCTTTTAAAGGTGAAGCGTAAAGGTTTCTCAATAATAATAATAATAATAATAATAATAATAATAATAATAATAATAAATAATGAGCGATTATTATTATTATTATTATTATTATTATTATTATTATTATTATTATTATTATTATTATTATTATTATTATTATTATTATTATTATTATTATTATTATTATTATTATTTCTGTCGTGCCTTGAAAAAGAGATTGATGTAGAAATATACGAATAAAGCTAAAATGGTTGCTTGGGCATGTTGGTACGACACATTGGAGGGAAACAGCGCGGAAAACGAGAGACCATGCAAATGACTCAGCACCTCACGTGCCACCTCGTGTGTGTCCTCCTTTGTTATACCTGCATGTCTCTCGTCTCTGTTTCCCTCCAACAGAACGGATAAAGCATTACGGAGTCGTCCGCGTCTCTGTATTCGCAATTCGCGTCGGCTTCTACAGGGCGAACGTTAACCGCGAATTCAGTGCTTCCACGAACGCTGTATACTACCTTTTTTTTTTGCTGTTTACGTGCGCGCATGTGTGTGCGACAGTTTCCTCCTTTCACCGAGCGCCAACCAATTACTGCGGGTCCTCGGTGTCTGCGGCCGCCCACTTGAAGCGTAATCCGATTTTGCGGGTCGTGCGGCAGTTCTTGTCTTCGATCCCGATTCTGCGGCGACGACGTTGAGGAATTGACACGGTAAGCAGTGTTTCTGCGTTAAAGCATGCACCGCGGTAACTCGGAAACGTGTGTCCGATGTGCTCGTTTCGCGCCGGAGCCGTTGTGCCCGAGGTCTTTGCCGCGTGCCGTAGATATATAAAGTAATCACCGCTATACGGACAGAAACCTATCTGAATCCCGTACGCGCGAGCGATACATTCAAGCTATGCACGTCCGCTAGAGCCCCACTTCAACACGTGTTGTGAGGGGTTGTCCAATATATCAAGATCATCATGGCGGTCTTTCCGGAAGATCTGCGTGCGCGGTGGTCGGCCGCACTGCAAAGCTCGGAACTTACGGACCAACTTTGGGCAGTCCAGCGAGCCATGGAGACAGCGCGGGAAGAACAACAGCGCCAAGCGGTTGTCTATAGACGGCCCCAGGCCCGGGCCTTCCATTCGCCGCATGTCTAATAAAATTGTTTCATCATGAATCGGCATGCGCTATCTTCGTCCTAAGATAATAGTCGAGCGCAGTGAAAGGTCCTCCCCGCTGACCCTTAGCAAGGTCCTCCCCGCTAACCCTTACGCCGCGACCGACGCGCGAGCGCGTCTCGCACTTGTGGCTCGCGTTGCATGCACACCCGCCGATCGCGCTGGTCTGAGGAGCTTCGCGTTCCGTTCTCGACCAGAAAACCTGCTTAGAGGGAGACGCCCCTTGCTACCAGCCACGTAGGCTTTCAAAGCGCGTTGATGGCTACTACAGGACCACAAGAAGAACCAACATCAATGCAAACCGAAGGGAACGCCATGACGCCCACGGAGAAATCGGCACGGACGTATGATGTCAACAGGGGCAAAACAACAGGAAAGGAGCATATAGAATGGCTGCAAGTCGGACGCAAAAAAAAAAAAAACGAGTGCCGAACTGGATTCAAGCATCTATCGAGAAGCCCGAGAAAGAGTCCGTTCCCATGCAAAAAGCTTCGAAGCAACGCAACTTGAAGATGCCCCCGTTTCCTACAGACGACTTTAAAATTGTCTACAGGCCACAAGCCGGAATCGACTTATTGAAATGGAGTCTAACACCAATTACGCACGCTATCGGACGATCAAGCGGTCTCGCACAACAAGATTTCTACGACAACGTTCGAGTTCAAGTGCAGAGCGTTGAAAGCACTATCATTGCTAGTACCGCCGACACAGAACGCGCAACCAACCTGAGAAGCATTGCTACCATCCAGTTAGACGGCACTTTCTTCAGTGTGAACCCCCACGTGAGACATCCCGACGATGTATACAGAGGTGTCATCTGCGGGCTTCTCCCAGGAACCATCAGTGCCGAAATTGTAGCTGGCCTCAGAGTC